TATCTTTGCATTTCATTTTTTCTGCCAAAGTGGAGTATCTTGCATTTTTGAGCAGTATGTGGCCATACTGCTCAAAAATCTCACAGCAACTGAGTGATTTTGGTCACATATTGCCACTTCTTTATTTGTGCTGTGGGTTTTAAATTGTTGTGAGCCACTTGGTCAAGAGATCCAAACTGGGTGTTGTTTCTGCTACTCATGATAGTTGCGATGATGATGATGATGATGATGGAAGTTGACTTGTGTCTTGAAGTGTGGTACAACAGGGTTGAACCAAAGAGATCAAAGCTAAGACGATGGTGTCTTTTCTGCCCACAGTTGAAGCAGTTTGAGCGGCTGGAGCAGGAGGTGACACGGCCGATAGACAACGACCTCTCCAGCTGGACCCCTCCGCAGCATTATGCTCACGTTCGGAGCGCAGGCGGTGGTAGCGTTGGCGGTGCTGCATTGTGTCCTTCGGACCGCCCGCTGTTGCTCTTCTACCTGGAGCAGTGCGAGGCCAACCTGACCACGCTGACCAACGCGGTGGACGCCTTCTTCACCGCCGTGGGCGCCAACCAGCCGCCCAAGATCTTCGTGGCGCACAGCAAGTTCGTCATCCTGAGCGCCCACAAGCTGGTCTTCATTGGGGACACGCTGGCCCGCCAGGCCAAGACCCCGGAGGTTCGCCACAAGGTCACCCACTACAGCAACCTCCTCTGCGACATGCTCAAGGAGATCGTGGCCACCACCAAAGTGGCCGCTCTCCAGTACCCTTCGCCGGCCGCTGCCAAGGACATGGTGGAGCGGGTCCACGATTTGGCCAACAGCACGCAGCAGTTCCGGATGATGCTGGGGCAGCTGGTGGCTATGTGAAGCCCTCCGGGAGTGCGCATCCATTGTAAATGGACTGTAAATACATTGGCCGGACTTCTCTTGCCCGTGGACCACTTCCTCGCTCTTCTAACAATGGTCTACATCAGGCATGGGCCAACTTTGGCCCTCTGGGTGTTTTGGACTCCAACTCCCACAATTCCTAACAGCCGGTAGGCTGTTAGGAATTGTGGGAGTTGGAGTCCAAAACACCCAGAGGGCCAAAGTTGGCCCATACCTAGTCTACACTGTGACCACCAAGAAGGGACATTATATCATCTTGAGATGATCGCAAGAAAGACAAATAATTATTTTTTTCCTCCCCGTTTGATTCTGAAATCGTTTGGCTTAATGGGCACTATTTAAATCAAATAAAAAGAGAGAGAATCCAAGGAATTAAGGGGTAAAAGGTGCTCTTGTCTCTGTCTATGGTACGTGCAAACTGAGCAAACTGTTGCAACTCAGAGTAGGCTTCACCTTGCTTCCAAACACCACCACACAAGAGCTGTAGTTTTACAGTTTATTGAGGGAAAAAAATCCAAGTCAAAATAAAGAATAAGCATTGCAAAATAATTGTCTTTAGAACAGGACGTGCAACCTTTGCCCAGCGGTAAGCCAGGGGGCCTAAAGAGAAGTTCTTAGAGGTTTCCACCACAAACAGTCTTTAGATGGCTTGAGAAGTACAACAAAGTCTTTTATTAATGAATAATCAAAGAGAAACTTCTCTTGTCTTCAGTAAAGTTAAGCAAATGATTCCAAGCTTTTAGGCAACTGGTGAATTCCTAATCTTGCCCATGAAGAACAGGCAACTGTCTTCAATAACTTCTTCTTATTTAAAGGAAAATCCCCTTTTTAACTTCTCCCAGGCTGACTGTAATCTAACCCTTACTGATGTGGGCTCCGCTACCAGGTCAAACTGCGTCTCCAACGCCGAGTGGACCTACCAGCAAGGCAGTAGATGTTCTCCAGCTGGAGTTCTTTGGTCTTTAGGACTGCTTTCCTGGAAATCTTTGGGTGCTCTTAAGACTGTCTTCAGTAAAGTTAAGCAAATGATTCCAAGCTTTTGGGCAACTGGTGAATTCCTAATCTTGCCCACGAAGAACAGGCAACTGTCTTCAATAACTTCTTCTTTACTTTAAAGGAAAGTCGCCTTTTTAACTTCTCCCAGGCTGACTGTAATCTAACCCTTACTGATGTGGGCTCCGCTACCGGGTCGAACTGCGTCTCGAACGCCGAGTGGACCTACCAGCAAGGCAGTAGATGTTCTCCAGCTGGAGTTCTTTGGTCTTTAGGGCTGTTTTCCTGGAAATTCTTTGGAGACTCTTAAGACCTTTCTCCCCGGAAGGTCTTAAGGGTTGAAGCTTTTGTACAGGGGAAGCTTGCACACATCCTATACATAAGCTTACCTTGCTGAGACTAACTAAAAATGGCTCCCTTCCCTTCCCAATTGCCCTGAGCAAGGGGCGGGACCAAAACTTAACAATGATGGACAGGTGACTTGCCCTATGACTGCAACCAAAGAAGCCACCTATCTGCAGAGTCCCTGAAACCTAGGAGTGCAAGCAAACATTTAATACAAAGCAAATAAAGTTGGAGCTCCTGGTACAGCTGTACCAGAACAACTACATCGGCTATTGCGGCAAGTAATGACAATGTGAATAAATTGCTAATATTTGCTTGAGATAGTGCTTGCAGTTCTGGAGGGACTCTTGATTTTTTGCATCTCATAGACTTAGCATGGGGATTTGGTTAACCAGTTAAAATTCATGAGTAAACCAGTTTTTTAAAAAAATCTGAAACATTTCGGGGGGGGGGTTGAACCCCTAAAACCCCCCCCCCTCGCTACGGGCCTGGAAATGCAGAATACAGTTCCAAATATAGGAGACATAATCCTATTGGCAAAGTTCAAACCAGAGTCCCAGGTACAAGTAATGTGTTGCAACCCAGAGCAGGGAGCGAGACCATTACACTGAACTGTGGGGAAAAACAATCCCTTTTTATTGATGAAAAATGGTTACAAAATAGAAGAAAATGCAAAGTCAAAAAGCCATAGTAAAATTCCGCAGTCAAGAATATCCACGAACTTGATCAAAATTCCAAAAGCCACACTGTAAAAACCTGGAAACTGTTAGCAAACTACTAACCGTCCTTGGAGAACTAGAAGCCTCTTGGGATGTAGGCCATGAGAAACGGGAAATCTGCCAAGGTAATGCCACAGTCTAAACCAGTGTTTCTCAACTTGGGGGTCGGGACCCCTGTGGGGGTCGCGAGGGGGTGTCAGAGGTCGCCAAAGACCATCAGAAAACATAGTATTTTATGTTGGTCATGGGGGTTCTGTGTGGGAAGTCTGGTCCAATTCTATCGTTGGTGAGGTTCAGAATGCTATTTCATTGTGGGTGAACTATAAATCCCAGCAACTACAACTCCCAAATGCTATTTTCCCCAAACTCCACCAGTGTTCACATTTGGGCATATTAAGTATTTGTGCCAAGTTTAGTCTAGATCCATCATTGTTTGAATCCACAGTGTTCTCTGGATGTAGGTGAACTACAACTCCAAAAATTCAAGGTCAATGTCCACCAGACCCTCCCAGTATTTCCTCTTGGTCATGGGAGTTCTGTGTGCCAAGTTTGGTTCAATTCCATTGTTGGTGAACTTCAGAATACTCTTTTGATTGTAGGTGAACTATCAATCCCAGCAACTACAACTCCCAAATGACAAAATCAATCCCCCCCCCCCCAGCCCCACCAGTATTCTAATTTGGGCGTATTGGGTATTTGTGCCAAATTTGGTCCAGTGAATTAAAATCCATCCTGCATATCAGATATTGACATTACAATTCATAACAGTAGCAAAATTACAGTTATGAAGTAGCAACGAAAGTAATGTTATGGTTGGGGGTCAACACAACAGGAGGAACTGTACTAAGGGGTCATGGCATTAGGAAGGTTGAGAAACACTGGTCTAAACGATGCCTGATCTAATGAGACAACCCGGTGAGAGGCACTTAAAACTGAAGAAACTGTTTCGTGACACGCCTCCAGGCTTTGAAGTCTGTGTTTCCCTTTCCTTTAATCTGCTTGACCTTCGCAGACTCTGCGATTCACTCCTGTTTTTCCAAATCTGTCTCTTTCTATCCTCATTAAGGAAGCCAGGTGCTAACTCCTCTGGAGAGCTCTCACCGCTTGGCTCTGCAGAATTCTCATCAGAATGTGTAGTTTCACCTTCCAAGCCACTGACTTCAGTATCAACACTTTCATTACCATCAGGGAAAAATACATCTTCAGTAACATCAGGACAAACAATCAGAGAATCAGGTTCAGGTTCAGGAATCAGAGAATCAGGTTCAGGTTCACATGCAGGCTGAACCCCAACACAATGAAACATTTGCCCCAAGAATCACAGTGCAAGAAATCCCAAGCATACTGCTTCCCAGGCTAAGGTTATTCCATGAAGCTTTCAGGCTAATAAGCTACATTGAACTGACGCTTTCACAGAGTTTCCAGGAGGCCTAAATACCTTTCTAACATCAAAACATTAGTCTCTCAGCATCATGAAGGCATTGCGATGACCTCGCACCAAGCTAGCCTCCCGTCTGCTTGCCAGACGCGAACTCCGCCTGACCCGGAGATCAAGGCAAGCTTCTCAGGTCAAATCCTTATCTGCACTTTTGGTATCATCATGGGAAGGCACCTGCTCGCTATTCCCTTCGTTAACATTCCTTTCTGGTGAAAACAGCTGTGTTGACACTGCACTGTCTGTGAGAGCCTCGGAAGCAGGCTCAGAGATTTGAGGCACAGACAAAGAGCCAGGAAGCTGAAACCCAACAGGAATCTGAATCCCATCATCCTCATCGTCAGAAACTAGCTCAGCCACAACACAAACCTGCACAATGCAACACCGAACTATAGAAGGTGCTTGGTGATACTATTTATTTACAGTATTTATATTCGGCCCTTCTCTCACCCCGCAGGGGACTCAAGGCGGATTACAATGTACACATACATGGCAAACATTCAATGCCATAGACACACAACACATATAGACAGACAGTCAGAGGCTATTTAACATTCCAATTTTCTGGCCACCAGGGGAGCTGTCGCTTCACCATCCATCTGAGACACTGATGAAGTACTTCCTCATTCTTTGCATGCTTGCTGGAGGTTTTTATGGCCTCGTAAATTAGTTAAATTAGCCTCCTCACATAAGTGGTACCTAAATTTCCTACTTGACAGATGCAACTATCTTTTGGGTTGCAAAGGTCGACAACAAGCTACACAAATTGGCCAGAAGCTCACTCCAAACCGGGCTGGCTTCGAACTCATGACCTTTTGGTCAGTAGTGATCTTAATGCAGCTGACAGCCAGCTAGCTGCGCCACTGTCCTAGTGCTAAGCAACTTCTTTCTTTCTTGGTCTAATGACCACAATTAAAACCAATCTCGTTACCTCATCATCAAACCCACAAGTTTTGCATTTTGGTGGCTATTCACACACACATAAAATCTACTCCTAAGCACTTTTATCCAGACATCTAAGGGATGTAAGCTTCAGGTGCATCTGTACTGTAGAACTGATGCAGTTTGATGCCACTTCCATGGCTGAATTCTATGGAATCCTGGTGGTTGTGGTCTGACAAGGTCTTGAGCCTTCTCTGTCAAAGAATGCAACTCCAGGATTTCCCAGGGATCGAGGGAAGAGATTAAGGAACGAGGGAGAGAAGAGTGGGAGGGAAGGAAAAAAGGAGGAAAAGAAGGACAGAGGTAAGATATGGATGCAGAAGGAAGGAGGAATAGAGGCATTGCCAAAGTCAGCTATCTGTCACAAAGGGGCAGCGTATGTTCATCGTCTGGCATGCCATGACATCTTGAAAGCCAGGAAAACCTGGAGATTCCCTGTGACATCAGGTGTGGGTGGAGTCTCCATTGTGGCGAGAAAAATGGTATTGTCTCTGTAGTTTTAGGCTTAGTAAATTATTAGATCAGTGTTTCTTAAACTGTGCTCCATCAGGTGTTTTGGACTTGTGTTTCCAGAAATCCCAGCAAGCTTACCAGCTGTTAGGAATTGTGGGAGCTAAAGTCCAAAACATCAGGAGGAGCACAATTTGAGAAACTCTGGATTAGATTAATCCTCCCAGGAATGTTTGGGGCAGGGCTGGGACTTGAAACCCAGCTAAGATTGGATTATTATTATTATTGGTTATTAGAAGTTATTATTAGCGGAGGAGGGTCAATTTTTCAATAACGAGGAAAAAAGTTTAAGGAAGGTGAAAAGATTGGGAGGAAGGGAACGAGGAAGGGAGGGTGATAAGAGGAAAGGAAGGAAGGAGAAGGATGGTGGGAAGACGGAGGGAGGGAGGGAAGAGTGGGAGGGAGGAAAGGAAGGGAAGGAGGATGAGGGAAGGATGGAGAAAGGGATAGCAGGAAGAAGGAAGGAGGGAGAAGAGTGAGAGGGAGAAAAGAAAGGGAGAGAGGGACAGGGAAGAGATGAGGGAAAGAAGAAGAGAGGGATGACAGGAAGAAGGGAGGGATGGACAAGGAAGGAAGGAGAAAGGGATGATGGAAGAAGAAAGGAGGGAGAGAAGAGCAGGAGGGAAGAAAGGAAGGAAGGAAAGAGGGAGGGACAGAGGGAAGAGAGGAAGAAAGGAAAGAAGGCCACCCAGTACTCTGTGTGATACATATGAAGAAATAGGTCCTCTTCACTTTAAAGTGCATGCCCAAGATTATTTTGTATTATGTCGCAGTCACAAATCAAAACACAAGACACTGTTCATGAGGGAGGAACTCTTTATTGTCCCCTGGGTGCCCTGATTTCCTTGTCTCCTCAGTTGTTGGCCATGGTCTCCTCGGCCCAGTCGCGGAGGCGGCTGACTCGGGCGTAGACGGCCGGGGTGGTGACGGAGCAGCGGCTGCTTCCCCAGGACACGATGCCCACCAGCTTCCAGACACCATCTTGCTGGCAGACCAGGGGCCCACCAGAGTCACCCTGTGGACACAAAAACAGTCGGATTGTTGCACTGAGCCCAGAGACCAAATCCACCATTGACCCTCATGATGGACCCAAATACTAATACGGTTGGCCCTCCACTTTTGCAGGTTGGTTATTCTGGTGGAAGAGGACCACAAAGTCACAAACTGCATCAAGTAGCAGCAATGCATCCCCTCAAAGTATTCCTTCTTTGCAACATACTTCTGTCAGCCCAAATGTATTGATCAAGGCACAGAATGGGGGTTCAGGGGATATAGCAGAGGGTGCATTTTGGAGATGCGCATACCATGCATGAAGAGGCGCCGGCTGCCCCGGCACAAATCATCAAGTCGGAGATGTTGCTGCCCCAGGACTCTTTGCATTTCTCGTTCGAGAGGAGGGGCAGGGCTGTTTGTTGCAGCTTGTTGGGGGTGGTGAACGCTGGTGGGAAAGAAGAAAGGGCCAGTTAACACCTCCCAAACAGAGGGCGCCTCCAGGCAACAAAGGCCAGGCTACCTCTATGCAGATACCCTCACTGATTGACTTTGCAAACTTTATGGCTACTCAAATGCTAATTCAAGCTTGCTAATTGCAATATTTAGACTTCCTTTAAATGGAAAAAGGTTTTTTCTCCCACCCTGGACATCATACCTGTGGAATGATGTCCAGGTGGGAGAAAAAAACCCTTTTCCACAGGTATAACGTCAGGAGTGAATACTGCTGGAACACGGCCAGACAGCCCAAAAAACTCACAGCAAACCAGCTCTTTGCACTATTGCTGGCTTGGAAAACATCCCCAAACCTCCAGTATTTCTCCCCAGTTGCCTTGTATTCCAAACATGAAGACAAAAGTCCAATAACTAGCCAAAAACAGAGGTAAGTCAGAACCCAAAGTGATTCGTAATTTCTAAAATGCACAGGTGCAGCAAACAATATGGCTAACATCATTAGTCAAAACTAATCCCAACAACAAAAGGTTGTCCAAAAGAGGTTTTGGAGCCAAAACAAATGTGCAGACGGCTACTTTATTTCAGAGGGCTCCTCTATTTCCAGATGATCATTTGGATGCACTGATGCAATTCCTACACTGGAAACCTGTTCATCCTATACAGGCAGTTCCCAAGTTACAAACGAGAGGTTCCATAGGTCTGTTCTTAGGTTGAATTTGTTTGCAAGTCAGAGCAGAAACATTTTTAAAGTGTAACTCAAGCCAATCTATCTATCTGTCTGTCTGTCTGTCTGTCTGTGTATGTATGTATGTATGTATGTATGTATGTGTATATATGTGTGTGTGTATATATGTGTGTGTGTGTGTATATGTGTGTATATATATATACAATATATACATATATATATACATACTGTATATACTGTGTGTATATATATATATACAGTATATACAGTATGTATATATGTGTACATATATACACACACATAGATATACACACACACACACACACTGAGTATATATATACACAGTATATACAGTATGTGTATATATATATGTGTGTGTGTGTGTATATTGTATACACATAGATACACACATACACGCACACACACACAGTATATATATACTGTATATATATATATACACACAGTGTGTGTGCGTGTATGTGTGTATCTATGTGTATACAATATATACATATATATATATATATATATACATACTGTATATACTGTGTATATATATACTCAGTGTGTGTGTGTGTATGTGTGTATCTATGTGTGTATGTATGTGTGTCTATGTGTGTGTATATATGTACACATATATGCATACTGTATATACTGTATATATATACACTCTGTGTGTGTGTGTGTGTGTGTGTGTATATATAATATATATACATATATACACATACTGTATATACTATATATATACTATATGTATATACTGCATGTATGTATGTGTGTGTATGTATGTGTATATATGTATATATATATATATATACACACACACACAGTGTGTGTGTGTGTGTGTGTATGTAGGGGTTACATTACGCAATGCCTATGCTACCCAAAGCTATATGTTGGTTGGGGTTATGCTATGTGATCCCTTTGCTATTGAAAGCTATATATTGGCTGGAGTTACACTATGCTATCCCTAAACTATCCAAAGCTATACATTGGCCTGAGTTACACTATGCAATCCCTATGCTATCCAAAACTATATGTTGGCTGGGGTTATGCTATGTGATCCCTTTGCTATTGAAAGCTATATATTGGCTGGAATTACACTATGTTATCCGTATGCTATAAAAAGCTATATGTTGGCTGGTACATTATGCGATCCCTACGCTATCCAAATCTATATATTGGCAGGGGTGTTACCCTTCCCTATGCTATCCAAAGCTATATATATATATATATATATATATATATATATATATATATATATATTCGGATGTTTGTAAGTCACAGACTGCCCATATTCCAAATTCTAACCCCTTGACTGACAACATTACAGGTGACTGCGATGATCAAAAAGAGAAGGCATTTTTGGTCTCCAAGCAGGAGCAGGTCTTTTGTAAAGTCAATGGCTCTTACCCACCAAACTCCAAATCATTTCCAACCCTTGGCATGCTCTTCCCAGGGCATACATGTCTCTCCTCCCCTGTCTGGCGCATTTCTTTCTGCTCAAAATCGAGCCTAAAGTGGCCTTTGCACCCCAGCACACAGCCCAACTCTTGTCCTGCTCAAGGTCCCATTGAAAGCCCACCGTTGTAGCGCGTCTTTCCCCATCCGCTGGTGGCGCAGAGGTCTCCGCTCTTGAACCCATCGGTGACGTCTGTCAGACAAACAGGGGACACGGTGTCGGTCAGCTCGGCCGGAGTGGCCAGTTTGATCAAGGCGATGTCGTTGTTGATGGTCACGGGGTTCCACTCTGGGTGGGTGAAGACCTGGAGGAGGAAGAACACCCCACACCAGAGTGTGTTAATAATGTGCATCATATGCTGCAGATGATATTATGCACAGAGGATAGAGCAGAGATAATAATAATAATAATAATAATAATAATTATTATTATTATTATTATTATTATTAGCTCCATTATTTTGGATGGATAGACTTAAAGATGCTCTCCAGAGTGCTGAGTCTATTTGGGGATATGATTCAACACCTTACACCCCATCCTCATTGTGCATTTAAGTCAGTTTCAAGCCTGGTGTTGGAAAAAGTGGCTTTGCTATGCAGATGGTAACATAGCATATCCTAGAACCTGATTGATGCCCAGATGGTAAGTACACAAACCGCATAGAACATATGCCCATTACCGGAGAGGAAATCATCTATCGGACAGATGGCAAGCTATTTAACAGCAGACTGATAGCCAAAACCAAGGTTACAACATCTGTTATAGAACTCCAGTATGCTGATGACAACATTGTCTATGCGCATTCAGAAGAAGACCTACAAGCCACTCTAAACATCTTCACAGAAGCATATGAGCAGCTCGGCCTGTCATTAAACATCGAGAAAACCAAAGTGCTCTTCCAGCAGTCACCAGCCAACCCTTCTCCAATGCCAGAGATACAGCTTAATGGTGTAACATTAGAAAATGTGGACCACTTCCACTCCCTTGGCAGCCACCTCTCCACAAAAGTCAACATTGACACTGAAATACAACACCGCCTGAGCTCTGCGAGTGCAGCATTTTTCCGAATGAAGCAGAGAGTGTTTGAGGACCGGGACATCTGTAGGGAATACCAAGGTGCTTGTTTATAAAGCTATTGTCCTCCCAACCCTGCTATATGCCTGTGAAACGTGGACTGTCTACAGATGTCACATGCAACTCCTGGAACGATTCCATCAGCGCTGCCTCTGGAAAATCCTGCAAATCTCTTGGGAAGACAAGTGGACAAATGTCAGCATGCTGGAAGAAGCAAAGACCACCAGCACTGAAGCGATGGTCCTCCGCCATCAACTCCGCTGGACTGGCCACGTTGTCCGGATGCCCGACCACCGTCTCCCAAAGCAGTTGCTCTACTCCGAACTCAAGAACGGAAAACTGAATGTTGGAGGGCAGGAAAAGAGATCAAAGTCAACCTTAAAAACTCTGGCATAGACACTGAGAACTGGGAAGCCCTGAGCGCTCCAGTTGGAGGTCAGCTGTGACCAGCAGTGCTGCAGAATTTGAAGAGGCATGAATGGAGAGAGAAACGTGCCAGGAGGAAGGCACATCAAGCCAACCCCAACTGGGACCGCCTTCCACTTGGAAACCAATACCTTCACTGCGGGAGACACTGCTGCAGATCAAGAATAGGGCTCCACAGTCACCTACGGACCTACCCTGGAAGAGTATCCTACTCAGACAATGAGGGATCACCTAAGTAAGTAAATAAGTAATGGCCATTAAGGGCTTACTTATATCTAGACACTGCAGTTTGAAATAGTTTCCGATTGTATTAAATGGTCAATGTAGACCGCAGCTTGGAGAACTCCTTCAAAGTCTAAGTGTGCATCTACACTGCAGTTTGAGGCCACTTTAACTGCCCTAACTCAGTGCTATGGGATCAGGGGTCTGACAGAGAAGGCTCAAGATTTTTTCAGACTATAACTCCCAGAATTCTATAGCATTGTGCCATAGGAGTTGAAGTGGACTCAAACTGCATTCATTCTACAGTGCCGATGCACCCTTGGTCAAGACCTCCTTAAAAACTGTGGCATAGACACTGAGAACTGGAAGCCCTGACCTGTGAGTGCTCCAGTTGGAGGTCAGCTGTGACCAGCAGTGCTGCAGAATTTGAAGAGGCACAAATGGAGGGCGAAAGAGAGAAACGTGCCAAGAGGAAGGCGTGTCAAGCCAACCCCGACCGGGACCGCCCTCCACCTGGATACCGATGCCCTCACTGCGGGAAAAGATGCAGATCAAGAATAGGCACCCACCCTGGAGGATTATCCTACTCGGACAACGAGGAATCGTCTAAGTAAGTAAGTAAGTAATGGAAACCACCCATCACTGTTGACTACTTTCTCCCAGACATCCCAGACTTCATTTCCGCAGGGATCTATCAAGCTTCCCACTCTCCCAGCCCTACATCACCCACCTTCTCGACGGCCAGCTTCTGTACTTTCTCTGCAGAGGAGCTGCGGTCATGTTCGCCAAGCACCACGACATTGGAGGTCCTGGAAAAGGCATTACATGTGAAAAATATATTGGAGTCTTGGTGGACAGCAAATTCATCATGAGCCAACAATGTCATGCAGCAGACAAAAAAAAGCCAATGGGATTTTGTCCTGCATCAATAGGAATCTAGTCTCTAGATCCAGGGAAGTCATGCTCCCCATGCTCTATTCAGAGGTTGTGAGGTTTGCTTGCCACAGATGCAGGCGAAACGTCAGGAGAGAGTGGATACAGCCCGAAAAAACAACAACAACCCAGTGATTCCGGCCATGAAAGCCTTCGACAATACATTGGCTGTATGGCCATGTTCTAGAAGCATCCTCCTCTGACGTTTCACCTGCATCTGTGGCAAGCATCTTCAGAGGTTGTGAGGTTTGCTTGCCACAGATGGAGGCGAAATGTCAGGAGAGAGTGGTTGATTGCCACAGACGCATGCGAAATGTCGGGAGAAAATGCTTTTAGAACACCGCCATACCGCCTGAAAAACGACAACAACCTGGCCATGAAAGCCTTCGACAATACATTGGCTGTATGGCCATGTTCTAAAAGCATTCTCTCCTGACGTTTCGCCTGCATCTGTGGCGAGCATCCTCAGAGGTTGTGAGGTTTGCTTGCCACAGATGCAGGCGAAACATCAGGAAAGAGTGGATGATTGCCACAGATGTGTGCAAAATGTCAGGAGAGAATGCTTCTAGAACACGGCCATAGAGCCCGAAAAAACAACAACAACCCAGTGATTCCAGCCATGAAAGCCTTCAACAATATATTGGCTGTATGGTCATGTTCTAGAAGCATTCTCTCCTGACGTTTTGCCTGCATCTGTGGCGAGCATCCTCAGAGGTGAGGATGCCTGCCATAGATGCAGACGAAACGTCAGGAGAGAATGCCTCTAGAACATGGCCATATAGCCCGAAAAAAAACAACAACCCAGTGATTCCGGCCATGAAAGCCTTCAACAATACATTGGTTGTATGGCCATGTTCTAGAAGCATTCTCTCCTGACGTTTTGCCTGCATCTGTGGCGAGCATCCTCAGAGGTTGTGAGGTTTGCTTGCCACAGATGCAGGCGAAATGTCACGAGAGAGTGGATGGTTGCCATGGAAACATGCAAAATGTCAGGGGAGAATGCTTCTAGAACACCGCCATACCGCCCGCAAAAATGATAACAGCCTGGCCATGAAAGCCTTCAACAATACACTGGTTGTATGGCCATGTTCTAGAAGCATTCTCTCCTGACGTTTCGCCTGCATCTGTGGCAAGCATCCTCAGAGGTTGTGAGGTTTGCTTGCCACAGATGCAGGCGAAACGTCAGGAAAGAGTGGATGATTGCCACAGAAGCATGCGAAATGTCAGGAGAGAATGCTTCTAGAATACGGCCATAGAGCCCGAAAAAACGACAACAACCCAGTGATTCCGGCCATGAAAGCCTTTGACAATACATTGTCCATACTTTGGTGCACTTTTTACCGTTGAACCAATTGGATTTTGGAGTAATAATGTTTTGATTTATTGGAAATCTGTTCTATCTAGTGGACTGAGCCTTAGAATGGATTTGCCATCCGGGACTCTGAAATCTGCTGGGATGTGGCGAGTCAATTTCTGACGCATGAAGACATCACAAATTCCCTCTGTGACATCCTGACTGAATCATCCTGGCTGAATCAATTCTCTCTCTGTGACGTTTTGAAGTCAGCAGAAGGCGCTGGAAACCTTGTATTGGAACTTGTGAAGCACCAAGTTCTAATAAGCAAACTGAGAAGAAGGGGAGATAGGCAGGAAAGGTGTATAAAAGGAAGTGGTGGTGGGGAAAAGTCAGTAGTGTCTTTCTGTGCTGCAGAGATACAAGCAATATATCCATTTCAAAGCGAAACGGCTTGTGAGTGGTTATTTAATATTGCTATATAGATCCCACAGTCTGACATGGGAGAATTGGCTATTTTGGAACTCATGCATTCTTTCCCGTCCTCTGGCCACCCATGGCTGAAAGATGCATGATCTATGTAAATAAAAATGTATTGTTCATTTGTGAGATTAATATAACTCAAAAACCAGTGGGCCAATTGATACCAAATTTGGACAGCATACACCTAACAATCCAATGTATGTCCTTCACTCAAAAAAATTGATTTTGTCATTTGGGAGTTGCAGTTGCTAGGATTTATAGTTCACCTACAATCAAAGAGCATTCTGAACTCCACCAATTATGGCATTGAACCAAACATGGCATACAGGACTCCCATGACCAACAAAAAACACTAGAAGGGTTTGGTGGGCATTGACCTTGAGTTTGGGAGTTGTAGTTCACCTACATCCCGAGAGCACTATGGACTCGACCAAACTCTACACAAATGTTCAATATGCCCAAATGTGAACAATGGTGGAGTTTGGGGAAAATATAATCTTGACATTTGGGAGTTGTAGTTGCTGGGATTTATAGTTCACCTACAATCAAAGAGCATTCTGAACTCCACCAATGATGGAATTGAACCAAACATGGCATACAGGACTCCATGACCAACAGAAAACACTAGAAGGGTTTGGTGGGCATTGACCTTGAGTTTGGGAGTTGTAGTTCACCTACATCCCGAGAGCACTATGGACTCGACCAAACTCTACACGAATGTTCAATATGCCCAAATGTGAACAATGGTGGAGTTTGGGGAAAATATAATTGTGACATTTGGGAGTTGTAGTTGCTGGGATTTATAGTTCACCTACAATCAAAGAGCATTCTGAACTCCACCAATGAATTGAACCAAACTGCACACAGAACCTCCATGACCAATAGAAAATACTGTGTTTTCTGGTGGTCTTTGGTGACCCCTCTGGCACCCCTCACGACCCCTCCAGGGGTCCCGACCCCCAGGTTCAGAAACACTGAATTATGGCATTGAACCAAATGTGTCATACAGGACTCCCATGACCAACAGAAAACACTAGAAGGGTTTGGTGGGCATTGACCTTGAGTTTGGGAGTTGTAGTTCACCTACATCCCGAGAGCACTATGGACTCGACCAAACTCTACACAAATGTTCAATATGCCCAAATGTGAACAATGGTGGAGTTTGGGGAAAATATAATCTTGACATTTGGGAGTTGTAGTTGCTGGGATTTATAGTTCACCTACAATCAAAGAGCATTCTGAACTCCACCAATTATGGCATTGAACCAAACATGGCATACAGGACTCCCATGACCAACAAAAAACACTAGAAGGGTTTGGTGGGCATTGACCTTGAGTTTGGGAGTTGTAGTTCACCTACATCCCGAGAGCACTATGGACTCGACCAAACTCTACACGAATGTTCAATATGCCCAAATGTGAACAATGGTGGAGTTTGGGGAAAATATAATCTTGACATTTGGGAGTTGTAGTTGCTGGGATTTATAGTTCACCTACAATCACAGAGCATTCTGAACCCCACCAATGATAGAAATGGGCCAAACCTCCCACACAGAACCTCCCATGTGGGCCACAGCAACGTGTGGCAGGGGACGACTAGTGTCTTAGATATAATGTCCGAGCCACAAATACTCTGTCCTTTTTAATCCTCGCTTTTAATGTTTGCACTATGAATAGGGCAGGAATATTACTCACGTCACACCACAATGGGCTGCGGTCACAACCCAGCGCTCGCTGACCAGAGATCCACCGCAGAAGTGCCAACCGGATTTCTCCTGCAAAGAATTGGAATCAGTTCTATACAGTTCTCAGATTTATAGTTCACCTACAATCAAAGAGCATTCTGAACTCCGCCAACGATGGAATTGAACCAAACTTGGCACACAGGACTCACATGACCAACAGAAAACACTAGAAGGGTTTGGTGGGCATTGACCTTGAATTTCGGAGTTGTAGTTCACCTTCCTCCAGCAAGCACTGTGGACTCAAACAATGATGGATCTGGACAAAACTTGGCAGGGATACTCAATGTGCCCAAATATGAACACTTGTGGAGTTTGGGGAAAATAGACCTTGTCATTTGGGAGTTGCAGTTGCTGGGATTTATAGTTCACATACAATCAAAGAGCATTCTGAACTCCGCCGATGATGGAATTGAACCAAATTTGACACACAGGGCTTCCATGACCAACAGAAAACACTAGAAACGTTTGGTGGACATTGACCTTGAGTTTGGGAGATGTAGTTCACCTTCATCCAGCAAGCACTGTGGACTCAAACAATGATGGATCTGGACAAAACTTGGCAGAGATACTCAATATGCCCAAATGTGAACACTGGCGGAGTTTGGGGAAAATAAACCTTGACATTTGGGAGTTGTTGTTGCTGGGATTCATAGTTCACCAACAATCAAAGAGCATTCTGAACTCCGCCAACGATGGAATTGAACCAAACTTGGCACACAGGACTCACATGACCAACAGAAAACACTAGAAGGGTTTGGTGGGCATTGACCTTGAATTTCGGAGTTGTAGTTCACCTTCCTCCAGCAAGCACTGTGGACTCAAACAATGATGGATCTGGACAAAACTTGGCAGAGATACTCAATGTGCCCAAATATGAACACTGGTTGGAGTTTGGGGGAAATAGACCTTGGCATTTGGGAGTTGTAGTTGCTGGGATTTATAGTTCACCTACAATCAAGAGAATTCTGAACCCCATCAACAATAGAATTGGGGCAAACTTCCCACACAGAACACCCATGACCAACAGAAAATACTGTGTTTTCTGATGGTCTTTGGCGACCCTTTAGACACTCCCAGGGGTCAACCAACAGGTGAAAGCACTTCCTGAATTCCATTACCTGCAAGGAAGCCTGCCAGGGCCACGATCCAGGAATTGCCTCCTCTCCGTTGACAATGCGGGTGTAGCCACTGATGACAGGCTGGATCTTGGGGACACCACAGCCTAGGAACAACAACACAACAATGGAAGTGAGAACTATAGCATGTATTGTCGAAGGCTTTCATGGCCGGAATCACTGGGTTGTTGTAGGTTTTTTCGGGCTATATGGCCATGTCTAGAGGCATTCTCTCCTGACATTTCGCCTGCATCTATGGCAAGCATCCTCAGAGGTAGTGAGGTCTGTTGGTACTAGGAAAAAGGGTTTATATATCTGTGGAATGACCAGGGAGGGGCAAAGGACTCTTGTCTTCTGGAGCTAGGTGTGAATGTTTCAACTGACCACCTTGATTAGACATGGCAGTGCCTGGGGCAATCTTTTGTTGAGAGGTGATTAGATGTCCCTGATTGTTTTCCCTCTGCTGTTTTGCTGTTTTAACTTTAGAGTTTTTTAATACTGGTAGCCAGACTACACAGAGAAGCCATTGAAATCCACAAGCACGTGGATAATTTCAACAGAAAGGAGGAAACCATGAAAATGAACAAAATCTGGTATTAAATAACTAAAATTAAAACAGCAAAACAGCAGATGAAATTATTAACCTTCTTTGCACCTTTGAGGGTTTCCATGTTACCACCCAAAGCCAGGCACTGCCAGGCTATAACACCATGATCATAATCGTCATTTGCATCATCATTTTGGCCTGGAACCCAGCAATGCCAATGCCTGGCTAATGCTTCTAGAGCAAGGAAATTCCAATAATAATAATAATAATAATAATAATAATAATAATAATAATAGGATTTAAAGATCGAACTGCAAAGACTCTGGCACAAGCCAGTCAAGGTGGTCCCAGTGGTGATCGGCACATTGGGCGCAGTGCCAAAAGACCTTGGCCTGCACTTAAACACAATTGGCACTGACAAAATTACCATCTGTCAGCTGCAAAAGGCCACCTTACTGGGATCTGCACACATTATTTGCCGATACATCACACAGTCCTAGACACTTGGGAAGTGTCCGACGTGTGATCCAATACAACAGCCAGCAGAGTGTCTGCTGTGGACTCATCTTGTTGAGTTTCAAATAATAATAATAATAATAATAATAATAATAATAATAATAATAATAATTCTTACCTGCCCCTCATGGCTGGAGACAGGTTACAAACTATAGCTTCCAATCCCTATGTAGGGCATATTAGAGTCATCCTTCTGAAGCCTGAATATGAGAGGTTTACACCAGTGGTTCCCAACCTATGGGCCGCTGCCTACTGGTGGGCCGCGAGACCTAAAATAAGGTCTGTGGTTCTGGATTATTAAATATGTTTTTTCTGTGGGCAAGCAGGTGGCGACTACTTGATGGCATATGTTCTGTATCAGAAACTAGAGCTGATGTAGTCTATCCAATGCAATTTTCTGAATCAGCCCCCCAAATAACCAAACCCAATCTAAAGTTGACCAAAAACTGATTCATAACGCTTTTGGGTACTAATATTGGAGAGTTGTCCCTGGTCAAAGTGGTCCCTGTTCAAGTGGTCCCTGGTCAAATCATTTTGGCCTGGAACCCATTTTTGCCTGGTCCCTGGTCAAGTGGTCCCTGGACAAAGTGGTCCCTGGACAAAGTGGTCTCTGGTTAAGTGGTCCCGGGTCAAAGTGGTCCCTGGTCAAAGGGGTCCCTGATCAAGTGATCCCTGTTCAAAGTGGTCCCTGGTTAAGTGGTCCTGGTCAAAGGGGTCCCTGGTCAAGTGGTCCCTGGTCAAAGGGGTCCCTGATCAAGTGGTTCCTGTTCAAGTGGTCCCTGGTTAAGTGGTCCCGGGTCAAAGGGGTCCCTGGTCAAGTGGTCCCTGGTCAAAGGGGTCCCTGATCAAGTGGTTCCTGTTCAAGTGGTCCCTGGTTAAGTGGTCCCGGGTCAAAGGGGTCCCTGGTCAAGTGGTCCCTGGTCAAAGGGGTCCCTGATCAAGTGGTTCCTGTTCAAGTGGTCCCTGATCAAGTGGTCCCTGGACAAAGTGGTCCCTGGTCAAGTGGTCCCTGGTCAGAGTGGACTCTGATCAAGGGGTCCCTGGTCAAAGTGGTCCCTGGTCAAGTGGTCCCTGGTAAGAGTGGACTCTGATCAAGGGGTCCCTGGTCAAAGTGGTCCCTGGTCAAGTGGTCCCTGGTAAGAGTGGACTCTGATCAAGGGGTCCCTGGTCAAAGTGGTCCCTGGTCAAGTGGTCCCTGGTAAGAGTGGTCAAGTGGTCCCTGGTCAAAGTGGTCCCTGGTCAAAGTGGTCCCTGGTCAAAGTGGTCCCTGGTCAAAGTGGTCCCTGGTCAAAGTGGTCCCTGGTCAAGTGGTCCCTGGTAAGAGTGGACTCTGATCAAGGGGTCCCTGGTCAAAGTGGTCCCTGGTCAAGTGGTCCGTGGTCAAGTAGTCCCCAGTCAAGTGGTCCCTGGTCAAAGTGGTCCCCCTTCAAGTTGTCCCTGGTCAAGTGGTCCCTAGTAAAGTGGTCTCTGGACAAGTGGTGCCTGGTCAAAGTGATCCCTGGTCAAAGTGGTCCCTGGTCAAGTGGTCCCCAGTCAAAGTGGTCCCTGGTCAAGGTGGTCCCTAGTCTAGTGGTCCCTCTTTAAGTGGTCCTTGGTCAAAGCGGTCCCTGGTGAAGTGGTTGAAGTGGTCCCTGGTCAAGTAGTCCCTAGTCAAGTGGCCCCTGGTCAAAGTAGTCCCCAGTCAAAGTGGTCCCTCGTCTAGTGGTCCCTCTTCAAGTGGTCCTTGGTCAAAGTGGTCCCTGGTCAAAATGGTCCCTGGTCAAAAAAAGGTTGGGAACCATTGGTTTACACTATATAGTTGAAGCAGTTTGAGCCCAATTTAATTATTATACTACCTTCCTATATAAGCCTGGGATTTGCAGCACAGTGCAGTCCATAACATTCTCTTGGAAAGGTCTAGCCTACTTAGTCCCTTGCAGTTCCTAAAATATTAATAATAATAATAATAATAATATCAACATTTATTTATATTCCATTTTTTCTCTCCACAAGGGTAACATTGGGAACTACAGCTTAGGAAGGAAACTCTCTAGCAGAGGGTTTAAACTGCACCCTGATGAAACTACAAATCCTACAGTTCCAAATGATGGAGCTATAGTGGTTTAACTATGATTGGTGCATAGTATGGAGAGCTCTTAGCAACCTCTTGCCGTTGAGCCATATCTAGATATTTAATCCAACCCAACCCCTTTTGGCGACCACGAAGGGACCTTGCAGGGTCTTACCTTGGGCGGCACTGAAAAGCGCCAGGCAGGATAGGAACCAGAGAGCCGCCATGTTACCTCTTTCTGGGAAACGATGCTATTGGAAGAGGCTACGACAGAACCACCCTTTTTATACCCCTGCTGTGAGTGAAAGTGGCCCATGGCCAGCGGTTACCTGGGAAGGCGGACATCTGCCTTGTGATAACACGATTGAACATTGGGACATTTTTAGATCAGTCACAGATGAATAGTTTCCAGGGGTCGTTTTTGGCCACGGTCGGATCCAGAGGTTTCTTTCCATTTCACCTTGAGCATTTAGGTTTTGCAACATGGAATGTTTTTCCATTTGTGGAAAGCTCTGGCATCTCTTTGAATGTCATTCACTCCCACGGGAAACTCGATCGGTGCCTTCTCTGTTCTCTTTGAACTTAGAAAACCCTTTGGTTTGGGCAGAATTATTTATTTATTTACTTTGCTTGTATTTACTTTCCCAGCCCGTAGGCGACTCAACGCGGTTCACAACAAGAGCAAAAAGACAGTCATAACAATATAGCAATATACAATTTGAAACCATGAGAGCATAATATACAAAGTAATGGCACATCAATAACAGCACATTAACGTCTCGTAACTAGAATCGTGATCCAATTCGTCGTCTATAATTCCGTTCCTATATTCATCATATTCATTGCACTGTTTATCCGAATGCCTGTTCAAACAGCCAGGTTTTTAGTTTTCTTCGAAACACCATTAACGTAGGAGCTGATCTAATGTCCATGGGAAGGGCGTTCCACAGCCGAGGGGCCACCACCGAGAAGGCCCTATCTCTCGTCCTCGCCAGCCGTGCTTGTGATGCAGGCGGGATCGAGAGCAGGGCCTCCCCGGAAGATCTCAAAGTCCTGGTTGGTTCATAGGCAGAGATACGTTCGGATAGGTAGCTTGGCCCCGAACCGTTTAGGGCTTTATAGGCCAACGCCAGCACTTTGAATTGAGCCCGGTAGCAAATTGGCAGCCAGTGGAGCTGGTGCAGCAGAGGAGTTTTATGCTCCCTGCGCTCCGCTCCTGTTAGTATCATGGCTGCCGAGCGTTGGACTAGCTGGAGCTTCCGAGCCGTCTTCAAAGGCAACCCCACGTAGAGAGCGTTGCAGTAGTCTATACGGGATGTAACCAGAGCGTGGACTACTGTGGCCAAGTCAGACTTCCCAAGGTACGGGCGCAGCTGGCGCACAAGTTTTAACTGTGCAAATGCTCCCCTGGTCACCGCTGAAACCTGAGGTTCCAGGCTCAGCGATGAGTCCAGGATCACACCCAAGCTGCGAACCTGCGTCTTCAGGGGGAGTGTAACCCCATCCAACACAGGCTGTAACCCTATACCCTGTTCGGCCTTTCGACTGACCAGGAGTGCCTCTGTCTTGTCTGGATTCAGTTTCAATTTGTTTGCCCTCATCCAGACGGTCACAGCGGCCAAGCACCGGTTCAGGACCTGGACAGCCTCCTTAGTAGCAGGTGGAAAGGAGTGACAGAGTTGGACATCATCCGCGTACAGATGACATCGCACTCCGAAACTCCGGATGAGTCTGTGCTATACTTTTATTAGATTCTATAATGGTTTCAGATTAATAGACATGAACCATTGTAATAGCAGCAATAGTAACCACAACAACAACAACAACATCAACAAAAACAACAGACTGGAAACAATCAGGGACAGATAATCGCCTTTCAACAAAAGATTGCCCCAGGCACTGCCAGGCCACCAAATGCTAATCAAGGTGGTCAGTTGAAACATTCACACCTAGCTCCAACAGACAAGAGTTCTTTGTCCCACCCTGGTCATTCCACAGATATATAAACACATTTTCCTAGTTCCAACAGACCTCACAACCTCTGAGGATGCTTGCCATAGATGCAGGCGAAATATCAGGAGAGAATGCCTCTAGAACATGGTCATGTAGCCCAAAAAAACCTACAACAACCCAACATCAACAATAACAACAACGAGACACTTTATTTATATTTTGCTTTATCTCCCCAAAGGGACTCAGAGAGGCGATTTCTCCTTGTCTGAGTAAGATTGTCTTCCAAGATCGGTGACCTGGCGGTGGGTCCGTAGGTGGCTATGGAGCCCTATTCTTGACCTACATGTTCTCTCACAGTGAGGGCATCAGTTTCCGGGTGGAATGTGGTCTCGGTTGGGTTTGGCTTGACGCACCTTCCTCTTGGCACCTTCTCCCTTTCGCCCTCTATTCGTGCCTCTTCAAATTCTGCAGCACTGCTGGTCACAGCTGACCTCCAGCTGGACCACTCAAAGACCAGAGCTTCGCAGTTCTCAGTGTCTATGCCAGAGGTTTTAAGGTTGGCTTTGAGCCCATCTTTCAATCTAATCATCATCATCATCATCATCATCAACGTGGCCAGTCCAATGGAGTTGATGATGGGAGACCATCGCTTTAGTGCTGGTGGTCTTTGCGTCTTCCAGCACACTGACATTTGTCCGCTTGTCTTCCCAAGAGATTTGCAGGATTTTTTGGAGGCAGCACTGATGGAATCGTTCCAGGAGTTGCATGTGACGTCTGTAGATAGTCCACGTTTCGTAGGCGTATAGCAAAGTTGGGAGGACGATAGCTTTGTAAACAAGCCCCTTGGTATCCCTACGGATGTCCCGGTCCTCAAACACTCTCTGCTTCATTCGGAAAAATGCTGCACTCGCAGAGCTCAGGTGGTGTTGAATTTCGGTGTCAATGTTGACGTCTGTAGACAGTCCACGTTTCGCAGGCATATAGCAGGGTTGGGAGGACAATAGCTTTATAAACAAGCCCCTTGGTATCCCTACGGATGTCCCGTCCCTCAAACACTCTCTGCTTCATTCGGAAGAATGCTGCACTTGCAGAGGTCAGTCGGTGTTGTATTTCGGTGTCAATGTTGACGTCTGTAGACAGTCCACATTTCGCAGGCGTATAGCAGGGTTGCGAGAACAATGGCTTTATAAACAAGCACCTTGGGTCTCCCTACGGATGTCCCAGTCCTCAAACACTCTCTGCTTCATTTGGAAAAATGTTGCACTCGCATAGCTCAGGCGGTGTTGTATTTCGGTATCAATGTTGACATCTGTAGGCAGTCCACGTTTCACAGGCATACAGCAGGGTTGGGAGGACAATGGCTTTATAAATAAGCACTTTGGTGTCTCAACGGATGTCCCGATACTCAAACACTTTCTGCTTCATTCAGAAGAATGCTGTACTCACAGAGCTCAAGCAGTGTTATATTTCAGTGTCAACGTCTATAGACAGTCCACATCTCGCAAGTATATAACAGGGTTGGGAGGACAATGGCTTTATAAACAAGCACCTTGGTCTCCCTGTGGATGTCCCGGTCCTCAAACACTCTCTGCTTCATTCAGAAGAATGCTGCACTCACAGAGCTCAGGCAGTGTTGTATTTTGGTGTCAATGTTGACATCTATAGACAGTCCACGTCTCACAGGCATATAGCAGGGTTGGGAGGACAATAGCTTTATAAACAAGCCCCTTGGTATCCCTACGGATGTCTCGGTCCTCAAACACTCTCTGCTTCATTTGGAAAAATGCTGCACTCACAGAGCTCAGGCGGTGTTGTATTTCGGTGTCAATGTTGACATTTGTAGACAGTCCACGTTTCGCAGACATATAGCAGGGTTGGGAGAACAATGGCTTTATAAACAAGCACCTTGTCTCCGAGTCCCCATTGGAGGAGATGGTAGCAGGGTATAAATAAAGATTATTATTATTATTACTATTATTATTATTGACAGGCCGAGCTTCTTGTACGCTTATGCGAAGGATTACAGTACACACATAAGGCAATTATTCAGTGCCTTTTACACAGTGAATACAATGACATACAATACACATCTCCGGCGTCCGGAGGCGATGCTCAACTCCCGCCATGGGAAGGGGATATTATTCCATTTTTCCATGCCAAGAAGCCTGTTGTCCATAGACATCTCCTATTGTGTTGCTGGCATGTCTATATGGGGCACCCTTTTACCTTACTTATTGATCTACTCGCATTGCATGCTTTCGAACTGCTAGGTTGGCAGAAGCTAGAGCTAACAGCGGGAGCTCACACCGACTCATGACTTCAAACTCCCAACTCTCCATTCAGCAGATTTCTTGCTCAGAAAGGTGGAGATCACAACTTGTTTGGGGGATTTTACACAGAGGAGAGATAATCATATCTCAGGAATTGTTGGGACAACCAAGAGGTTGGACTAGATGACCCCTGGGGAACCCTTTCCAAATGGGTTTCCGGCTCGGCTTTAGCAATGGAAAGTGTCCGATGCCAAAAAAGATTGTTTTGTGCCGGGTTCTGCTCTTTCTGGCTGAGAAAACCCTTGACCAAAGCCAGGTGTGCTTTTTGGGGGGGAAAGGTGAGATTAGGCCCCTGAGATTAGACCAACAGAGAAGGACAGGCAGGTGATAACAAACCTGAAAATGCCTCTATTCCATATGTTTTGTCCACAGGAGCAGAGTAATGCCAAGTGAACATTAGTGCCAGACCCAAGGCCATTAATTCCAACCCACTTCTTCCAGGCAGGAAGACACAATCAAAGCCTTCCCAGCAGATGGCCATCTGACCTCCTTGAGCCGCCCCGGGTCCCCGTTGGGAAGATGGTGTTGGAGTATAAATAAAGTTTATTATTATTATTATTATTATTATTATTATTATTATTATTATTATTTGAAACACAACAAGATGAATGTATTGTCGAAGGCTTTCATGGCCGGAATCACTGGGTTGTTGTAGGTTTTTTCGGGCTATGATGGCCATGTTCTAGAGGCATTCTCTCCTGACGTTTCGCCTGCAGTCTATGGCAAGCATCCTCAGAGGTAGTGAGGTCTGGACACAGCAGACACTCTGCTGGCTGTTGATGGATCACACGTCAGACACTTCCCAAGTGTCTAGGACTGTGTGATGTATTGGCGAATAATGCGTGCAGATACCAGTAAGGTGGCCTTTTGCAGCTGGCAGATGGTAATCTTGTCAGCGCCGATTGTGTTTAAGTGCAGGCCAAGGTCTTTAGGCACTGCACCCAGTGTGCCGATCACCACTGGGACACCTTTATTGGTTTGTGCCAGAGTCTTTGCAGTTCGATCTTTAAATCTCATATTATTATTATTATATTATATTATAATATTAATAATATATATAATTATATTATATTATTATATTATTATATTATAATAATATTAATAATATTATATTATATTATTATATTATATAATAATATAATAATATAATATAATATAATTATAGTAGCCGCCTCATATTATTATTATATTATTATATTAATAATATAATATAATATAATTATACTAGGCATCCCCTGCCACGCGTTGCTGTGGCCCACTCTGGTGGTCACAGGGGTTCTGTGTGGGAAGTTTGGCCCAATTCTATCATTGGTGGAGCTCAGAATGCTCTTTGATTGTAGGTGAACTATAAATCCCAGCAACTACAACTCCCAAATGTCAAGGTCTATTTTCCCCCAAACTCCACCAGTGTTCACATTTGGGCATATGAGGTTCCGTGCCAAGTTTGGTCCAGATCCATCATTGTTTGAGTCCACAGTGCTCTCTGGATGTAGGTGAACTACAACTCCCAAACTCAAGGTCAATGCCCACCAAACCCTTCTAGTGTTTTCTGTTGGTCATGGGAGCCCTGTGTGCCAAGTTTGGTTCAATTCCATCATTGGTGGAGTTCAGAATGCTCTTTGATTGTAGGTGAACTATAAATCCCAGCAACTACAACTCCCAAATGACAAAATCATAATTTTTTGAGTGATGGTCACTCCTTGTGTTGTGAGATGTTTTGTTGCCAATTTTGGTGTGATTTTGTTCATTGGTTCTTTTGTTTTTAAGGTACTCATTATGCACAGAGCATTTTTATATATAGAGATAATATATTATTATTATTATTATTATTATTATTATTATTATTATAGAATCCTAGAATTGAAAGGGGCTTCTAATGGCCATCAAGCCGGACCCCCTTCTTCCAAGTAAGAAGACACAATGCAAGCCTTCCCAGCAGATGGCCAGGGGGATTCAACAAGACCCTAAGGCAACATAATAAAAGTGTGGCGTATTATCTTAGTTTGGATCCAAGTTAAGGAACAAAAGTTGTGTTACATAATTGATATAATTAATCAATGGAACCTATAAATAAAGTTAAGCTACCCATTGTTTGCTTCGTCCTTGGGTTCCTAACGCTGGGTGCATCTACTCTGCAGAATTTAATGTAGTTTGATGCCACTTTAAGTGCGACAGTTCGATGCTATGGAATCCTGGGGGTTGTACTTTTTTGGTCCTCTTTGGAAAGACCTTGCAAAACTATAAATCCCACGATTCCCTAGCACTGAGCCATGGCAAGTCAAAGCTGTGTCAAACTGCATTAATTCTACAGTGTAGATGCACCCTGATAGCATGAAGCCATCACAAAGGACTACCATCTCACCTGCCTCATAGGAAACTTGCTACAAAACAGGAGCTTTTTTGTTGAGTTCCAGGGCCAGAGAAGCAGATGGCGGAAACAGAAGAGCGGCCTGCCTCAGGGGAGCGTGCTTGCTCCATCCATGTTCAACATCTACACAAATGACCAGCCACTGCCAGAAGGGACAGAGAGCTTCATCTATGCTGATGATTGTGCCATCACGCTCAAGCAGGGAGCTTTGAGATGGTTGAACAGAAGCTCTCCGAAGCTCTAGGTGCTCTTACTGCCTATTACAGGGAAAACCAACTCATCCCTAATCCATCTAAAATACAGACATGCGCCTTTCATCTCAAGAACAGACAAGCATCCCGAGCTCTGAGGATGATGACCTGGGAAGGGATCCCACTGGAGCATTGCAGCGCACCCAAATACCTGGGAGGAGTCACTCTGGACCGTGCTCTGACCTACAAGAAGCACTGCCTGAACATCAAGCAAAAAGTGGGTGCTAGAAACAATATCATACGAAAGCTGACTGGCACAACCTGGGGATCACAACCAGACACAGTGAAGACATCTGCCCTTGCGCTATGCTACTGCTGCTGAGTATGCATGCCCAGTGTGGAACACATCTCACCACGCTAAAACAGTGGATGTGGCTCTTAATGAGACATGCCGCATTATCATGGGGTGTCTGTGCCCCACACCACTGGAGAAATTACACTGCCTAGCCGGTATCGCACCACCTGACATCCGCTGGGAAGTAGCAGCCAATAGTGAAAGTGAAGGATGCTAAACAAGGGGCTTTGAATTAAATTAATAGCAAAAAAGAAACATACCCTTCCTCTGTAGAAAAATAGCAATACGAAAGAAAATGTCTTTAAGAAACAAGAAGGTACTGTGTTACACAGGATGTGGTATTGTGGTTAACCTCAAAGGTTACAAGAAGGTACTTTCTGTCAAAGGGTCAAGGAAGAGGGGGCTGGAAAGAGAGTACTTTCCATGAAAAAAAAAGTATTCTTCTGTTAAAGGTTAAAATTGTTATTTATTTATCGTGTCATCAGCAACCATACCATTGTGTTACAATTCTAACAGAACAAAACAAACACACAGATTAAAAAGTAAAAGAAAAAATAACACAGAGATTTTGCAAACTTGGTAGTTGGTTAAATGTCCTTTGACCAGTATCTGGCCACTTGGAGTGCCTCTGGTGTTGCCGCAAGAAGGTCCTCCATTGTGCATGTGGCAGGGCTCAGGTGCATTGCAGCAGGTGGTCAGTGGTTTGCTCTTCTCCACACTCACACGTTGTGGATTCCACTTTGTAGCCCCATTTCTTAAGGTTGGCTCTGCATCTCGTGGTGCCAGAGCGCAGTCTGCTCAGCGCCTTCCAAGTCGCCCAGTCTTCTGTGTGCCCAGGGGGGAGTCTCTCATTTGGTATCAGCCATTGGTTGAGGTTCTGGGTTTGAGCCTGCCACTTTTGGACTCTCGCTTGCTGAGGTGTTCCAGCGAGTGTCTCTGTAGATCTTAGAAAACTATGTCTTGATTTAAGTCGTTGACGTGCTGGCTGATACCCAAACAAGGGATGAGCTGGAGATGTCTCTGCCTTGGTCCTTTCACTATTGGCTGCTACTTCCCGGCAGATGTCAGGTGGTGCAATACCGGCTAAGCAGTGTAATTTCTCCAGTGGTGTAGGGCGCAGACACCCCGTGATAATGCGGCATGTCTCATTAAGAGCCACATCCACTGTTTTAGTGTGGTGAGATGTGTTCCACACTGGGCATGCATACTCAGCAGCAGAGTAGCACAGCGCAAGGGCAGATGTCTTCACTGTGTCCGGTTGTGATCCCCAGGTTGTGCCAGTCAGCTTTCGTATGATATTGTTTCTAGCACCCACTTTTTGCTTGATATTCAGGCAGTGCTTCTTGTAGGTCAGAGCACGGTCCAGAGTGACTCCCAGGTATTTGGGTGTGCTGCAATGCTCCAGTGGGATTCCTTCCCAGGTAATCCTCAGAGCTCGGGATGCTTGTCTGTTCTTAAGGTGAAAATTGTTGATCTCACAGTAAAAGGTTAAAATTGATGTTGGTGGTACTTTCCCTTTTGCATTGGGGTATAAAGATATGCAGATTTCAAGAGACGGCGCGGGCAGTCTTTGAAAGCACAAACAGAAGTGCTTCTGTCCGTCTCATGTTGATCAGCTTGATTAAATGGTGTCTTACATGAACCAATTAGACTCTGTGGATTTCTTGGAAAAGGGACCCCGCACTCTAAACCGGTGATCCCTTACAAAGGACCAAGGCAGAGACATCTCCAGCTCATCCCCTGTTTGGGTATCAGCCAGCACGTCAACGACTTAAAGAAATAGTTTTCTAAGATCTACAGAGACACTCGCTGGAACACCTCAGCAAGCGAGAGTCCAAAAGTGGCATGCTCAAACCCAGAACCTCAATCAATGGCTGATACCAAATGAGAGACTCCCCCTGGGCACACAGACTTGGAAGGCACTGAACAGACTGCGCTCTGGCACCACGAGATACAGAAATGGGGCCACAAAGTGGAGTCCATGACATGCGAGTGTGGAGAAGAGTGAACTACAAACCACCTGCTTCAATGCAACCTGAGCCCTGCCACATGCACAACGGAGGACCTTCTTGCGGCAACACCAGAAGCACTTCAAGTGGCCAGATACTGGTCAAAGGACATCAAATCAGATAAGGAAAGGATGGAAACGAAAACAACTAAACTCTTATATAAGGGAAGTCTCCCATATATAAGGCTTGCGGCTCTTCCATCGATCCTATTCCTTTGACGGATCAACATGGCACTCGTCTGGCTCCTCGTCTGCTTGGCCTTCTTTAGCGCTGCCAATGGTGAGCTCCAGTTGGGAAAATAAACTGGTTTCCCAGTTTGTCCCAGTTTCCGGGCAAAGGCAACACAATGCCCTCCATGCTATGCAATCCTGGGAGTTGTCGTTTGGTGAGGCAGAGGAGTCAAGTTTCTTATCAAACTACATCTTCCAAGATTCTCTAGCATTGAGCCATAGCTGGTGCCAAAGTGTGTTAGGAATTGTGGGAATTGTAGTCCAAAACACTTGGAGGAGGGCCAAAGTTGGCCCATATCAGGTTTAAAGCTAGGATGAAATTCTTTAGGATCTGGACTATGGGATAATAATAATAATAATAATAATAATAATAATAATAATAATAATAATAATAATAATGGGTTGTTGTAGGCATATTCTAGAGGCATTCTCTCCTGACGTTTCGCCTGCATCTATGGCAAGCATCCTCAGAGGTAGTACAACAACCCAGTGATTCCGGCCATGAAAGCCTTCAACAATACAACAACAACAACAACAACAACAACAACAATAATAATAGGAAGAACTTCCTGGCTGTGAGAGCTGTTCAGCAGTGGAACTCTCTGCCCCGGAGTGTGGTGGGGTCTCCTTCTTTGGAAGCTTTGAAACAGAGGCTGGATGGCCATCTGTCAGGGGTGCTTTGAATGCAATATTCCTGCTTCTTGGCAGAATGGGGTTGGACTGGATGGCACTTCTTTGAATGCAATATTCCTGCTTCTTGGCAGAATGGGGTTGGACTGGATGGCCCAGGAGGTCTCTTCCAACTCTAGGATTCTAATAATAATAACTGCAAAGACTCTGGCACAAGCCAGTCAAGGGGGTCCCAGTGGTGGTCGGCACACTGGGTGCAGTGCCTAAAGACCTTGGCCTGCACTTAAAAACAATCGGCGCTGACAAAATCTCCATCGGTCAGCTGCATAAGGCCACCTTATTGGGATCTGCATGCATTATTTGCTGATACATCACCTAGTACTAGACACTTGGGAAGTGTCCGACATGTGATCCAATAAAATAGCCAGCAGAGTTATCTTGTTATCTGTGTACTAATATTGTTGTGTACTAATAATGATGATGATAATGATGATGATGATGATGACGATGATATCATTTGCTGTGACATACTGTGTTTTTGTGTTAGTAAAATAATAATAATAATAATAATAATAATGAACTGCAAAGACTCTGGCACAAGCCAGTCAAGGTGGTCCCAGTGGTGATCGGCACACTGGGTGCAGTGCCTAAAGACCTTGGCCTGCACTTAAACACAATCGGCGCTGACAAAATTACCATCCGCCAGCTGCAAAAGGCCACCCTACTGAGATCTGCACACATTATTTGCTGATACATCAGACAGTCCTAGACACTTGGGAAGTGTCCGACGTGTGATCCAATACAACAGCCAGCAGATTGTCTGCTGTGGACTCATCTTGTTGTGTTTCTAATAATAATAATAATAATAATAATAATAATAATAATAATGCATTATTCGCCAATACATCACACAGTCCTAGTGGTGATCGGCACACTGGGTGCAGTGCCTCAAGACCTTGGCCTGCACTTAAACAAAATTGGCGCTGACAAGGTTACCATCTGCCAGCTGCAAAAGGCCACCCTACTGGGATCTGCACACATTATTTGCCGATACATCACACAGTCCTAGACACTTGGAAAGTGTCCGACGTGTGATCCAATACAACAGTCAGCAGAGTGATCTTGTTACCTGTGTACTAATATTGTTGTGTATCTAATAATAATAATAATAATAATAATAATAATAATAATAATAATAATATAAAATCCAAACCACCTATAGAAATTATCTTCGTTTTTTAAATTTCCTGCCCCAAGGCTTTTTGGATATGTACACATTTGATGTTTCTTGCAACTGGATCTCATGTTAATAATAATAATAATAATAATAATAATAATAAATATTTAGGATATTTCTATCCCGCCTTTCTCAAGCCCAAATAATAATTTCTAAATGACAGATTTTTGGAGTATAATAATAATAATAATAATAATAATAATAATAGTCACAATAATAGTTTTGGAGCACAAGACTCCTGACCTCACGATCGTGCTAAAAAACCAATTATGGATTGTTGACGTTGCAATCCCAGGCGGCAGCAGGATTGATGAGAAGCAAATGGAAAAGTTGCTAAGGAACAAGGATTTAAAGATCGAACTGCAAAGACTCTGGCACAAGTCAGTCAAGGTGGTCCCAGTGGTGATCGGCACACTGGGTGCAGTGCCTAAAGACCTTGGCCTGCACTTAAAAACAATCGGCGCTGCACACATTATTCGCTGATACATCACACAGTCCTAGACACTTGGGAAGCGTCCGACATGTGATCCAATTCAACAGCCAGCAGAGTGTGTGCTGTGGACACATCTTGTTGTGTATCAAATAATAATAATAATAATAATAATAATAATAATAATAATAATAATAAATCCATCTCCCTTTCCTGGTCAGGCTGCGGTGTCCCGGCCATCGAACCCGTCCTTAGCGGCTATGCAAGGATTGTCAATGGAGAAGAAGCGGTGCCCGGATCGTGGCCCTGGCAAGTCTCCTTGCAGGTAAAAGGCTACTACAGGCAGTCCCCAAGTTACAAACAAAAGAGGTTGTGTAGGTTTGTTCTTAAGCTGGATTTGTGTGTAAGTTGGAACAGGTACATTTTGAACTGTAACTCCAGCCAAATATATACAGATATACATATATTTGTCTGGAATTACAGTTAAGAAATGATGCCGCAGCGGGTTAAACTGCTGAGCTGCTGAACTTGCTGACCGAAAGGTTGGTGGTTCAAATCCAAGGGCAATGCCCTTGCAGATGGCCAATTCTCTCACATCAGAAGCGACTTGCAGTTTCTCAAGTCGCTCCTGATATGAGAAAAAACCCAACATGATATGGATACCAAATCTCTCTCTTTCTTTCTCTTTTTTTTCCCCCGACTTTTTATTTTTACAATAAAGAATATACATACTTTGCACACACAAAACATTTACAATTCCCACCACCAACATGAGGATTATTATCTTTCACATATTCATTTCTTTTTGAGACAATCATTATTTCTTTATCTTTATACATTTCCATCCTGTATGCTATATAGCTATATCTCTCTCTTTCTTTCTCTCTATATATACTAGCCGTCCCCTGCCATGCGTTGCTGTGGCCCAGTCTGTGTATATGTGTTTTGCGTGTGTATATATGTGTGTATGTATGTGTAATATATTTGTATATATATGTGTGTTTGCGTATATATATATATATATATATATATATATATATATATGTGTGTGTGTGTGTGTGTGTGTGTGTATAGATATGTGTGTATTTGTGTGTTTACATGTGTACATGCATATTGTGTATATGTGTGTGCTTGTCTATATGCATATTTGTGTGTATGCATGTATGTAATATGTATATATGTATGTGCGTGTATATATTTGTGTATATATGTGTGTGTGTATATATATGTGTGTATATATTTGTGTATTTGTACGTTTATATGTGTACATGCATATTGTGTATATGTGTGTGTCTATATGCATATTTGTGTGTATATATGTATGTAATATGTATTTATGTATGTGTGTGTGTATATATATATATACACAAACACACAAATATACACAAATATATTGTGTATATATGTATGTTTGCGTGTGTGTATGTGTGTATATATATATATAAGTGTGTGTGTGTGTATATATGTGTGTGTATATATTTGTGTATTTGTGTGTTTATATGTGTACATGCATATTGTGTATATGTGTGTGCTTGTCTATATGCATATTTGTGTGCATATATGTATGTACGTGAATATGTATATGTGTGTGCATGTGTATATGTAATATGTATATATGTATGTGTGTGTGTATATATATACACAAACACACATATATACACAAATGTATTGTGTATATATGTGTGTTTGCGTGTGTATATATATACGGGTGTATATATGTGTGTGTATATATTTGTGTATGTGTGCATTTATATGTGTACATGCATATTGTGTATATGTGTGTGCTTGCCTATATGCATATTTGTGTGTGTATGTGGATGTATGTGGTATGTATGTGGATATGTATATGTGTGTGCATGTGTATATGTATATAGGTGTGTATGTATATGTATGTGTGTATATGTGTGTGTTTGTGCATATATATGTGTGTGTTATGAATGTGTGCATGTGCATATGTATATGAATGTATGTGTATATGTATATATGGTGTATTTTGGGGTTTTTAAAGTCTGTTCTGCTGGGGTTTTGTGTGTGTGTGTGCGCGTGTGTTTATGGGTGATGGACACTCATTGGACTGTTAAGTATATTGTGTTCAAATTTGGTGTCAATTCGTCCAGTGGTTATTGAGTTCTGTTAATCCCACAAACGAACATTACATTTTTATTTATATAGATATATATACATCTTCCTTTTTGCTTCCCAGGACAGCACCGGTTTCCATTTCTGCGGCGGTTCTCTGATCAACGAAAACTGGGTGGTGACCGCTGCCCATTGCAGCGTCAGGTAGGAGAGAGACCACTCATGCCATTTGGACGCAAATGAGTCATTTATTATGAATGGGTAAAGATGTCTCCAAGCTACTTTGGAGAGTCTGGGCCAAAAGATAAGATGGATAGGACTTTGAGTGTGGGTGGACTACAACTCCCATCAACCAGGGTCAATTCCCACCAAACCCTGCCAGTATTTAAAGTTGGTTATGTTGAGTCTGTGTGCCAAGTTTGGACTAGATCCCTCATCAGCGGGGCTCACGGTGCTCTCTGGATGTGGATGAACTACAAATCCCATTATCCTCTGTAATTTCCCCTTGACCTCCTCCAGTCTTTAAAGGTGGTCATGTTGGGTCCATGTGTCAAGTTTGGACTAGATCCCTCATCAGCGGGGCTCACGGTGCTCTCTGGATGTGGATGAACTACAAATCCCATTATCCTCTGTAATTGCCTCTTGACCTCCTCCAGTCTTTAAAGTTGGTCATGTTGGGTCTGTGTGCCAAGTTAGGACTAGATCCCTCATCAGCGGGGCTCACGGTGCTCTCTGGATGTGGATGAACTACAAATCCCATTATCCTCTGTAATTTCCCCTTGACTTCCTCCAGTCTTTAAAGGTGGTCATGTTGGGTCCATGTGCCAAGTTTGGACTAGATCCCTCATCAGCGGGGCTCACGGTGCTCTCTGGATGTGGATGAACTACAAATCCCATTATCCTCTGTAATTGCCTCTTGACCTTCTCCAGTCTTTAAAGTTGGTCATGTTGGGTCTGTGTGCCAAGCTTGGACCAGGTCCATCGCCAGTGAGGTTCACAGTGCTCTTGTATATGGGCGAACTACAACTCCCATCATCCTCTGACATTGCCCCTCCAAAATCCCTCCAGTATTTTACCATGATGGGTCTGTGTCCCAGACTTGGACCAGATCCATAGCTAGCGAGGTTTACAGTGCTCTTTACATATGGGTGTACTACAACTCCCATCATCCCCTGACATTGTCCCTCCAAAATCCCTCCAGTATTTGGCCATGATGGGTCTGTGACCCAAGCTTGGACCAGATCAATCGCTAGTGAGGTTCACAGTGCTCTTTCCATATGGGAGAACTACAACTCCCATCATCCTCTAACATTGCCCCTCTAGTATTTAGTCATGATGGGTCTGTGTGCCAAGTCTGGATTAGATCCATCTCCATTGAAGTTCAGAGTGCTCTTGTATATGAGTGAACCACAACTCCCATCATCCTCTGACATTGCCCCTCCGAACCCCGCCAGTATATGGTCATGATGGGTCTGTGTGCCAAACATGGATCAGATCCCTCATCAGTAAGGTTCACAATGCTCTTTGAATATGGGCAAACTACAACTCCCATCATCCTCTAACATTGCCCCTCCAGTATTTGGTCATGATGGGTCTGTGTCCCAAGCTTGGACCAGATCCATTGCTTGTGAGGTCCACAGTGCTCTTTGCATATGGGCAAACTACAACTCCTATCATCCTCTGACATTGCCCCTCCAAACTCCGCCAGTATAAGGTCATGATGGGTCTGTGTGTCAAACTTGGATCAGATCCATCATCAGTGAGGTTCACAATGCTCTTTGAATATGAGCGAACTACAACTCCCATCATCCTCTAACATTGCCCCTCCAGTATTTGGTCATGTTGGCTCTGTGTGCCAAGCTTGGACCAGATCCATCACCAGTGAGGTTCACAGTGCTCTTTGCATATGGGAGAACTACAACTTCCATCATCCTCTAACATTGCTCCTACAGTATTTGGTCACGATGGATCTGTGTCCCAAGCTTGGACCAGATTCATTGCTTGTGAGGTTCACAGTGTTCTTTGCATATGGGTGAACTACAACTCCCATCATCCTCTAACATTGCCCCTCCAGTATTTGGTAACAATGGGTCTGTGTCCCAAGCTTGGATCCGATCCATTGCTTGTGAGGTTCACAGTGCTCTTTACATATGGGTGAACTACAACTTCCATCATCCTCTGACATTACCTCTCCAGTATTTGGTCATGATGGGTCTGTGTGCCAAGTCTGGATTAGATCCATCACCAGTGAGGTTCACAGTGCTTTTTGCATATGGGTGAACTACAACTCCCATCATCCTCTGACATTTCCCCTCCAGTATTTGGTCATGATGGGTCTGTGTGCCAAGCTTGGGCCAGATCCATCACCAGTGAGGTTCACAGTGCTTTTTGCATATGGGAGAACTACAACTCCCATTGTACTCCCTCGTTGCATATGTTGGAACGGTAGCTTTATTGGGATGCAATTTAAACCCTCTGTTACCTTTAATGGCTGCAGGAAAAGATAATATGTGGCCCTATCAGAAAACAAAATGTATCATGTTAGATTAGCCAAACTCAGGAAGGATTGACCTGATCGAGCATCTTCCCGGAAATAGTCTTATTTTGGGAAACGATGAATAATTTACAACTCATTGATCGGTTCTTTGAAGGTGATTGCTATCTATCGAGACGGGTATATATGTTAAGGGTCATTAAATAAGGCTTGGGAAGGGAAAGAGGGAATGGATTACCTATGTTATAATTCAAGGTAAGAGAAATCCTTGTGAAGGAGAGAATATTTCATTTCTTAAAAGTCAGCAAAACAGCATGCTATTGAAATTTTATCACAGAGAGACATGGTCAGGGTCATACGAGGGGCGTTGATTAAAGATTTCCCCTGCGGACCCCACCGGAGTGGAAATCATCTGTCGGATCGATGGCAATCTGTTTAACCTCAGCAGCCTGAAAGCCAAAACCAAGGTTACAACACCTGTTATAGAACTCCAGTATGCTGATGACAACGTCATCTGTGCACATTCAGAAGAAGACCTACAAGCCACTCTAAACATCTTCGCAGAAGCATACGAGAAGCTCAGCCTGTCATTGAACATCGAGAAAACCAAAGTACTCTTCCTGCAGTCACCAGCCAAGCCCTCTCCAATGCCAGAAAAGCAGCTTAATGGTGTAACATTAGAAAATGTTGAGCATTTCCGCTCCCTTGACAGCCACCTCTCCACCAAAGTCAACATCCACACCGAAATACAACACTGCATGAGCTCTGCGAGTGCAGCATTTTTCCAAATGAAGCAGAGAGTGTTTGAGGACCGGGACATCCGTAGGGATACCAAGGTGCTTGTTTAGAAAGCTATTGTCCTCCCAACACTGCTATATGCCTGCGAAACGTGGACTGTCTACAGACATTAACATTGACACTGAAATACAACACCGCCTGAGCTCTGCGAGTGCAGCATTTTTCCGAATGAAGCAGAGAGTGTTTGAGGACTGGGACATCCGTAGGGATACCAAGGTGCTTGTTTATGGGACATCCGAAGGGATACCAAGGGGCTTGTTTATAAAGCTATTGTCCTCCCAGCTCTGCTATACCTGTGAAACGTGGACTGTCTACAGACGTTGACACTGAAATACAACACTGCTTGAGCTCTGCGAGTGCAGCATTCTTCTGAATGAAGCAGAAAGTGTTTGAGTATCGGGACATTCATTGAGACACCAAAGTGCTTGTTTATAAAGCCATTGTCCTCCCAACCCTGCTATATGCTTGTGAAACTTGGACTGTCTACAGACGTCAACATTGACACCGAAATACAACACTGCCTGAGCTCTGCGAGTGCAGCATTTTTCCGAATGAAACAGAGAGTGTTTGAGGACTGGGACATCCGTAGGGAGACCAAGGGGCTTGTTTATAAAGCTATTGTCCTCCCAACCCTGTGCCTGCGAGACATGGACTGTCTACAGACGTCACATGCAACTCCTGGAACAATTCCATCAGCGCTGCCTCCGGAAAATCCTGTAAATCTCTTGGGAAGACAAGTGGACAAACGTCAGCGTGCTGGAACAAGCAAAGACCACCAGCATTGAAGCAATGGTCCTCCAACAATTCCATCAGCGCTGCCTCCGGAAAATCCTGTAAATCTCTTGGGAAGACAAGTGGACAAACGTCAGCGTGCTGGAACAAGCAAAGACCACCAGCATTGAAGCAATGGTCCTCCACATCAAATCCGCTGGACCGGCCACATTGTCCCGATGCCCGACCACCGTCTCCCAAAGCAGTTGCTCTACTCCGAACTCGAGAATGGAAAACGGAATGTTGGTGGGCAGGAAAAGAAATTGAAAGATGGGCTCAAAGCCAACCTTAAAAACTCTGGCATAGACACCGAGAACTGGGAAGTCCTGGCCCTTGAGCGCTCCAGCTGGAGGTCAGCTGTGACCAGCAGTGCTGCAGAATTTGAAGAGGCACGAATGGAGGGCGAAAGAGAGAAACGTGCCAAGAGGAAGGCGCATCAAGCCAACCCCGACCAAGACCGCCTTCCACCTGGAAACCGATGCCCTCACCGCAGGAGAAGATGCAGATCAAGAATAGGGCTCTACAGTCACCTACGGACCCACCAGAACACTCATCCTGGAAGACTATCCTACTAGGCCAATGAGGGATCGCCTATGTAAGTAAGTAAGTAAGTTTTGATTTTATATTGTTGTGCTGTATATTTACATTTAGTATTTTTGTATTTTATGTTATTTTATTTTCTGATTTTCTGTTGTGTTTTTGTGTTATATTGTGTTTCTGTATTGATGGGCATGGCCTCATGTAAGCCACCCCGAGTCCCCTTTGGGGAGATGGTGGCAGGGTATAAATAATAATAATTATTATTATTATTATTATTATTATTATTATTATTATTGAAGAAAGTGCAAAAGCAGTTGAACTTTTTTAAAAAAACCAAAATTATGGCAACCAGACTGATCAATAACTGGCAAAGAGAGGGAGAAAACGCGGAGGCCGTGACAGGGTTTGTATTTCTTGGTGCAAAGATTACTCTAGACACAGACTGCAGCCAGAAAATCAGAAGACACTTCCTTCTTGGGAGGAGAGCAAGGACCAATCTCGATAAAATAGTGAAGAGTAGTGACATCACACTGGCAACTGGCAAGATCTGAATAGTCAAAGCAATGGCATTCCTCATAGTCACCTATGGATGTGAGGACTGGACCATAAGGAAGGCTGAGTGAAGGAAGACAAGCGCTTTGGAATTAAGGTGTTGGAGGAAAATCACAAGAGTGCTTTGGACAGCGGTAATATCCAACCATTCCATACTCCAGGAACTAATGCCCGGCTGTTCACTGGAGGGACAGACATTACAGGCAAAGATGAAGTGCTTTGGCCACTAGGCCTGTTTGATCAAGAAAAAATTTGTTTCTAAAATCGATTTGTAATTGGGGTGTTTTTTTGTTTCGATATTTAAAATAATTACAAAACTTTCCAAAAAAAAGTTTTGGTATTTAAGAAATTTTGTAAATATTAACGAATTTTTAGAATATTTTTGGTATTTCTTAAGAATAATATTAAAATAATATTAAAAAATATTTTAAAATGGAAAATTAACCAAAAAATGGCCCAAATGTGGACCAAACACAGGCAGGATACAGCAAATGAGAGCACACACCAACAGAAGAGTCTTTTCTTTTTTAGAATATTTTTTAAGAATAATATTAAAAAATAATATTAAAAATAATATTAAAAAATAATATTAAAAATATTTTAAAATGGACAATTAACCAAAAAATGGCCCAAATGTGGACCAAACACAGGCAAGAGACAGCAAATGAAGCAAGCAGCACTCACAGCAGCAAGGAATGAATCCAATCCCAGTTGCTAGCAGGCAGCCATTGCCAAGCCAACCCAATGCAAACTCCCTCGCCCTCTGCAGCAAGCTACGGGCCGCGCAGAGCCGCTTTGAAAGGGCTCGCCGGCCAATCAAAAACAGCAGCCACGGACCCATGGTGCACTGCTTGGGAGCGCCGGATTGGCTCCCATGCACCAGCACTCCAGCAGCCTCCACCCCATTAACGAAACGAGCGGAGGCTCGTAAATACTATGGGGGCTGCTGGTTCGATATTTATAAACCCTTCCGGGTTTGGAGATTTGTTTCAATATTGCTTCGGAAATGGTAAAATTAACGAATTATTAACGAATTAACGAATTAACGAACCAAATCGCACAGGCCTATTGGCCACATCATGAGAAGACAGGAAAGCTTAGAGAAGTCTGTTGCCACTAGGAGTTTTTGCTTGGAAATCCATCCATCCTCCTCCATGCTGGTCCTAAAATACTGTGAGCATGACCTTGCCTGCCGAGAGTTGGGCACGTGCCTTCTTTGGAGGCGGCGAGTCAGGATGCTTCCATTACATTCACTGGATTTGAGTCTCAGGATCAGAGTGATGAACCCAGCTTTCCTCCTGTCTGTTGACAAAGTCCTCCTGGTTTCTTTCCATGGCACATCATTGTCAAGAGAGCCTGAGAGTACAGCTACGTTCAGCAAAGGACAAGAGAGATCCTCTCACCTCTGCAGGAGTCTACCGTGTACCATGCAGCTGTGGACAAGTCTAGATAGGGACCACCAAACGCAGCAGCATTGCCCAAACACGAATCAAGGAACATGAAAGGCACTGCAGACTACTTCAACCAGAGAAATCAGCCATAGCAGAGCACCTGATGAACCAACCTGGACACAGCATATTATTTGAGAACACAGAAATGCTGGACCACTCTCACAACCAACATGTCAGACTACACAGAGAAGCCATTGAAATCCACAAGAGCATGTGGACAATTTCAACAGAAAGGAGGAAACCATGAAAATGAACAAAATCTGGCTACCAGTATTAAAAAACTCAAAAATTGCAACAGCAAAACAACAGAGGGGAAACAAACAGGCACATAAAATCACTCTCAACAAAAGATTCCCCCCAGGCACTTCCAAGCCATTGAATGCTTGACAAGGTGGTCAGTTGAAACATTCATACCTAGCTCCAGCAGACAAAAGTCCTTTGTCCCACCCTGGTCATTCCACAGATATATAAACCCATTTTTCCTACTTCCAACAGACCTCACTACCTCTGAGGATGCTTGCCATAGATGCAGGCGAAACGTCAGGAGAAAAATTGCCTCCAGAACATATATAGCCCGGAAAAACCTACAACAACCCAGTATTCAACTCGTTCCTGCTTCTGGAAAGGTGTGAGCAGCCAGGGAACCCAGCGAGCAGATCTCATATGCATGGGAAGATGGTCTTGGATGATTATTTCCACGGACCCCACACTCATTGTGACATTTTGGGCTCGGTGGCAAATGGTTATGTGGCAATTTTCCAAAATGGGGACCTCCACTTGCTGGATGATGTGTTCCTCAAGAGCAGAGTAGGGTCGTCCTGGAATTGGAACTGTTTCCACCGAAGTCCGACCACATTAGAACTGACGATGCAAGTTCTTGTCTCCATCCTATGATGGGAAATCCTCACCATCAACCGCTTCCATCTCATCAAACGTCTCCTTTGGTGTGCGGCCTTTCAAGGAAAGGAACTTGGGGACTGCTCTGTCTTCCACTGGGTCTATTCTCAAATCTCGCTCCACTTCAGCACTTGAAAAATCAAATTCTGGGTTGTAAATTGGCTTGTCACCTATAGAGACTTATATCATTACACATGTGCAGTTTCAGCATCCTGTGATAAGTAGAAGTGGGTCAGGAGAAAGCATTAATGAACGTTCCTCGTACATAGGGAGATACGACCCTTGGAACAGCGTGAACCTGAGCTGTATATCACTGTCAAATCCCCTAAAGGCACCTTATATATATTCTTGCAATGCTTAAGAAACTCTTTCTCAAATCTCAGCCTTTTTTTGGTTTATATTTTCTATATTTATTCCACCATCTGCTCCAATGTTCGATGTGAGGACGATGGTGGGCGGATGGAGAAACTGGATTTTAAAAAAATATATGAAGCAGACAAGACTGTCGAAAATGAACAGATTTGGTTTGTGTGAGAAGAATATTCGACCAATCTGAGCCCCCATCTGTCCTCTCCAAGGATTGCATCCACACTTTAGAACAAATGCAGTTTGATGCTGCTTTAACTGTGCTGGCACGGTAGTGCCAGGAGATTTGAATCTCTATTTCTTGCACTGCTAGATTGTATGAATTTATTTAAGCCATGCTTTTTGCAATCAGGTAGCTTCCCCAGGTTGCAGCCATAGGGCCAGCAACCTGGCAATCATTGTTAGAGTCTTTAGACCCGCCCCTTTTCCCAGGGTTTTGGAGGCAAAGGAGGACCTTTGTTCAGTCTCACTGTTTGAAGCCTAACAGCAGGACATTATTTATTTATCGTGTCATCAGCAACCAGACATTTGTATTACATTTTTAACAAAAACAAACAAACAGACAGACAAAACACAGAATTTGCAAACTTGGTAGTTGATTAAATGTCCTTTGACCAGTATCTGGCCACTTGGAATGCCTCTGGTGTTGCCGCAAGGAGGTCCTCCATTGTGCATGTGGCAGGGCTCAGGTTGCATTGCAGCAGGTGGTCGGTGGTTTGCTCTTCTCCGCACTCGCATGTTGCTTGCCCTTGATAGCAGACAGAGGAATCTACTGGTTTTCCAAGGTTATAAAGCATTTAATTCATTTGTTTGAAGATTGAAGCCCAAATAAAGAACTTTGTTGAACTTATTTTGAGCCTCAATAGAACTTTGTGTTGGGAAATCTAAGGGGCCCTTCAGCTGAGGCACCCCGGCTTCCCATTGGGCATACAGAAGGCACGTCCTGTAAACAGACATTATTTCAGGCCCAGTGTGCGACAGCACATTAACCACCATGGCTCCGTGCTATGGAGATGCGGGATGTGTCATTTTGGTGAGGTGACTGCACTCTTTGGCAGAAAAGGCTCAAATCTTTGCAAAACTACAATTCCTAGGGTTCTATAGTATTGAGCAGGTAAAGTGGTGCCAAAACACATTAATTTCACAGTGTAGATGCACCCCAAGTTAGGGAACTCAGTTTCACTTCCTTGAATGGCTAGAAAGTGGTATGTTGCAAGCCGTCCCGGGGAGGGGATATAAATAATAATAATGATAATAATAATAATAATTATTATTATTATTATTATTATTATTTGAAACACAACAAGATGAGTCCATAACAGACACTCTGCTGGCTGTCGAATTGGATTGAATAATAATAATAATAATAATAATAATTATTATTATTATTATTATTATTAGGAGATGGAACCATAAGTGAGAAGGGGTCCTTCAAAGATCATCTAGTCCATCCTCTCGGCTATAGATGAACAGGCAGATAAACCATTCCAGAGAGATGGCCATCGAGCCTCTGCGTAAGGTCTCCAAGACCTCCAATTCTGAGCACCACAATTGAAGAGAGATATTGACAAGCTGGAGGAGGGTGACTAAAATGATCAAGGGTCTGGAGAACAAGCCCTATGAGGAGCGGCTTAAGGAGCTGGGCATGTTTAGCCTGAAGAAGAGAAGACTGAGAGGAGACATGATGAGGGCCATGCATAAATATGTGAGGGGAAATCATAGGGAGGAGGGAGCGAACTTGATTTTTGCTGCCCTGGAGACTAGGATGTGGAACATGGGCTTCACACTACAAGAGAGGAGATTCCATCTGAACATGAGGAAGAACTTCCTGACTGTGAGAGCCGTTCAGCAGTGGAACTCTCTCCCCAGAGTGTAGTGGAGGCTCCTTCTTTGGAGGCTTTGAAACAGAGGCTGGATGTCCATCTGTCGGGGGTGCTTTGAATGAGATTTTCCTGCTTCTTGTCAGGATGGGGTTGGACTGGATGGCCCATGAGGTCTCTTCCAACTCTATGATTCTATGATTCTAAGACTAAATGTCATGTCTGCCTATTCCAAGGCTGCACAGCGATTGCTGTAGAGAAGTTCTTCTTAGTATTGACACAGAATCCCATTTGTGATCCTTTGAATCTATTGGTTTGTGCAGGACAAGCCATCTCGTGGTGCTGGGTGAATTTGACCAACGCAATTCCGGCGAAGACGTTCAGGTCCTCAAGATTGAAAAGGTAGGTGAGACAAGACCAGATTCCAAAGAATATCTCTTTTGTTACCAGAATCATGGATTCTTTGCTCCAGGATCAGAATCTGTTAGATTGGAGATCAGTATGGGTTGATGGTTCCCATTTTAGCCGTAAATCTGCTGGAGTTTTAGACCAAAATTGACAAAGTGCTATCCAAGGTGCTAATGTATTGGAAGAAGGGGATTCAGTACTTTGGAGAGCTCCGGGCCCATCCAAACAGGCCTTAAAATGCGTGCCCTCCTGCTTCTTCAAGTGGGGTGTCCAGATGAGGCCCCACAGAAAAGAGAGTGCTTTTGGCACACAGCAGGAAACTCTGCTTTGTGCCGAGAATTTTTATTAATGGGGGAAAAGTAGGTCTTCTTGAAAGACCCGCGTCTTTCTCGCTTTGGGCAGAGTCTGGACTGGTCCTTCAAAAGTTCTGGGACTTCTGATGGGGCCATTCACACAGCCGTCTCGCTGAATCAAACGCGAGAGGGCTCTAATCCCCCATCCAAACAAGTTGGTGCAAGAATGGACAAAGTGGTAGCTTGTTGTGGCTGAGCTATTTTCTGATGATGAGGATGATGGGATTCAGATTCTTGTTGGGTTTCAGCTTCCTGGCTCTTTGTCTGTGCCTCAAATCTCTTAGCCTGCTTCCGAGGCTCTCACAAACAGTGCAGTGTCAACACAGCTGTTTTCACCAGAAATGAATTTTAACGAAGGGAATAGCGAGCAGGCGCCTTCCCATGATGATACCGAAAGTGTAGATAAGGATTTGACCCAAGAAGCTCGTCTTGATTTCCGGTTCAGGCGGAGTTCGCATCTGGCAAGCAGACGGGAGGCTAGCTCAGTGCGAGGTCATCGCAATGCTTTTATGATGCTGAGAGTCTAGTGTTTTGATGCTAGAAAGGTATTTAGGCCTCCTGGAAACTCTGTGAAAGCGTCAGTTCAACGTAGCTTATTAGCCTGAAAGCTTCATGGAATAACCTTAGCCTGGGAAGCAGTACGCTTGGGATTTCTTGCATTGTGATTCTTGGGGCAAATGTTTCATTGCTTGTACCTGGGACTCTGGTTTGAACTATGCCAATAGGATTATGTCTCCTGCGTTTACCTGAAGATCTTTGGAACTGTATTCTGCATTTAACCTTAATCTTTGGGACTTTGCAATGCTTTTTCTTTATTTTGACTTGGATTTTTTCCTCAATAAACTGTAAAACTACAGCTCTTGTGTGGTGGTGTTTAGAAGCAAGGTGAAGCCTACTCTGAGTTGCAACACAGCTGTTGTTCTTGTTGTTGTTGATGATGATGATGATGATGATGATGGAATCGGAGGAACACTTCATCACAAAGCTGGTGAGAAAGGCTAATCTGCACTTGCACCAGGAACTACTTTTGTGAATCTAGTCTTAGGCTAGACCTACACTGTCATATAATTCAGATTATCAATAAAATAATCCACATTATCTGCTTTGAAATGGATTGTATGAGTCTACGCTGCCATACAATCCAGTTCAAAATGGATAATCTGGATTTTATATTGCAGTGCAGATGCAGCCTAAGTTTTACTCTGAAGTTCTGAACTTTATCTGAGGTCGGTTCCAGGCAAGGAAGAAGTCCACGCTGATCCGGGTTAAAAAAACCCGAATCAGGGCAGCCTTCTGTTCCCACACTGGCCCAAAAACCTACACTTCCGGCACTGGGTGTCCAGATGCACTCCTGGAACTTTCTGGGAGAACACCCAGACACACTAACACCCTCCCCAAACCCTCCAAAAAAACCTTTAAAAATAAAAAAACTTACCCGGCCACCATTAGCATGGTGCCAATGCTCTCCTGGCGCATAGGAATGATGCACCAGGAGAGCTCCGGCATCATGTTAATGGCAGCCGGGTAAGTTCTTTTATTTTTAAAGGGTTTTTAGAGGGGGTTGGGAAGAGAGTTTGGGCATCTGAGTGTTCTCCCAGAAGGTCCTGGGAGCACATCTGGACACCCAGTGCCAAAAGCGTGGGCTTTCGGGTCAGTGTGGGGACAGAAGGCTGCCCTGATTTGGGTTTTTTAAACCCGGATCAGCGTGGACTTCTTCCTTTCCTGGAACCGCCCTCAGATAAAGTTCAGAACTTCAGAGTAAAACTTCTGATGCATCTGCAGAGCCATATAAAATCCAGATTATCCACTTTGAACTGCATTATATGGCAGCATAGACTCATACAATCCAATTCAAAGAAGATCATGTGGATTATTTAAGCGTTGTTGTGCTATTGTTAATGTTTACAGCTTTTTTTGTTTATGAGTTTCATTTTATTGTTTTGTATTGCTGTTGTTATTGGTTTTGCCGATGTATTGTGGGCTCGGCCTCATGTAAGCCGCACTGAGTCCCTTGGGGAGATGGTAGCGGGGTATAAATAAAGTTTTATTTTAAATTATTATTATTATTATATATTATTATTATTATTATTATATATTATTATTATTATTATTATCATTATTATTTGATTGGTATTCTGGATTATATGACAGTGTAGATCTAGCCTAAGACTAGATTCACAAATGTAGTTCCTGGTGCAAATTCAGGTTAGCTTTTCCCACCAGCTTTGTGATGTAGTGTGCCTCCGATTCCATCATCATCATCATCATCATCATCATCATCATTGGCTACCACTTTGTCCATTCTTGCACCAACTTGCTTCATATCCCTAGTTTTATTGCCTATCTTCCCCCTTCTTTGCACATCTCCCCTTTCTGTTTGTGGGCTTCCTTTCTCCAATCCTCCTTATCATTTGAGAGTCACGTTTATGGCCTTTGATAATAATATCCTTAATTCCTGCCAAATATGCACAGAAACTATTCAAATTTGCAAGAATTTGCAAAGAGAGGTGTTTAGGGCTTGAAAAAGATGGCAAGTGAGTCTTGTCTTCTTCTGATAAGGAGAAATTACAATAGCCTCAATGTCATCCTCTTGGCTTCTATTATATTTTCAGCCTTGATCTGCTCTCAGACCCATTCGTTGGTTGATAGCCACCAAACTCATCTCTCAAATGCATTCATTCTCTTCCAATCAGTTTTCTTCATCATGACTCATTCTTGCCATTTACAGCGTATCAACAATGACTTCCAATGCTGCCAATTTGCACAGAATCATTTTTGATACTCCCTTATTTGTACCAATAGGAAGATATCAACCATTCCTCGCTTCGATTGCCAAAAAGTCTCCTTACCATTATGCATTACGGTTCTCCATTTGCAATAGTCCTTTCCTTATGTATAGACCATGCTTCTTTATGTTTCTTTTAACTTTTCAGCTCAAACACTCACACTCAAACACTCATATTATCACATTACATGCTCATAAAACTGGGCTGTGTCTCCGTTCTGGGTGGCACTTTGTTTACCCGGCAGGGTGTTCTGGTCAAATAAACCTGTTGATTGATTTCCCTCCCTTCAGTGTCTGATATGATGAACAACAACCCTAGAAGTTTCGGCTACTTCGTAATAAATAGAGAAGGTAGTGTATCCCAACCGTGTCCTTCCCTTTGGCAGGTTTTCAAGAATCCGAAATTCAACCTCTTCACCATCCGGAATGACATCACCCTGCTGAAGCTGGCCTCCCCGGCCCGGCTGTCGGCCCGCATTTCCCCCGTCTGCCTTCCCCAGGCTGGTGATGACTTCCCCGGCGGCATGACCTGCGTCACCACCGGATGGGGGCTGACCAAGCACACCAGTAAGGACTGTGGGGAAAGGCAATGGGGAAGCTGTGGGTTGGCACATGCAGGAGAGAGGGAAGTCTTTATTCATCCATTCTCTGCAATATTTTTTTTATTTAAGTGTTTATTTATAAAGACGTTGACATACTGCCTTTGAGCCTCACCTCCTCCATAAGTGGCCTTGAGGTGGTTTATAACAATAACACAAAATACAAGGAAGGAAAACAAGAAAAAAATAGCACCATTAGCAGACGAATTAAACCTACTGGTAAAATATATATTGTCTTCACAGACAGGGGCGGCTCGTCCATTACGTGAAGTAAGCGGTCGCAGAACACTTTTTTTTGCCAGGGGCGCAGAGGCGCCTCTGTAAATGCCCCTTGACCGCCACTTGAGGAGCGCCCCCTCAGCTCACAACAGCCCTAGCAGTCCGGGGGGAGCCTCGGCTTTCTTGCCTCGCTGCCGGGCGATCCTCTTCCCAAAGGGGCCGGGCCCTTGAGCCTCGCCTAGCCCCTCTCGTTCCTGCTCCACCCGGCCACCGGGTGCGCGAGCAGAGCCGGCGCTCAATCGTTCTCCGCATTCGATCCCTTCCCCATGACCGGCTCCCTTTCCCGATCCCCTGGTGCTCCACCCGCCTCCTCTCCTCTCCCCAATCTGCGGGTGGGCCAAGGGGCAGAGCCGCCGCGCCTGGCCCGCTTCGGGTCCGGAGGCGTGTCTGAAGACCCCAGCGTGCGCACCAAAAGTCGCCTCTTCTCCTGACTTTCTCTTCAGCCATTGGGACCAAGAGAGAGAGAGAGAGAGCCCCTCCTGGCTGGAGGTATCTCCCACCTCCGCTCCCTCCTTTGTTTTTGCGCCTACCTTCAGGAAAGGTGGGCATCTCCACCTCTCTCTCTCTCTCTCTCAGGAGAAGAGGTGACTTTTGGTGCACACGCCGGGGTCTTCAGGCACGCCTCCGGACCCAAAGCGGGCCAGGCAAGGGAGCAAGTGCGGCAAGTGTAGTTACTGGGATGTATAGTTCACCTACAATCAAAGAGCATTCTGAACTCCACCAATGATGGAATCGAACCAAATATGGCACACAGAACTCCCATGACGAACAGAAAATATATATCAATGATTGGTTGGGGGGGGGCATCAAAATACTGTTTGCTTACCTTTGAAAATTACCTAGGGCCGCCTCTATTCACAGACTACATAAAGGATTTAAAAAAAACCACTACAAGGTATTAACTATGGTGAGCATTAGAATTATTGGAAACAGAGATGGCTATTGTGTTGTTGAAGGCTTTCACGGCCAGAATCACTGGGTTGCTGTGATTTTTCTGGGCTGTATTGCCATGTTCCAGAAGCATTCTCTCCTGATGTTTCACCCACATCTATGGCAGGCAACCTCAGAAGTTGAAGGGTCCCCTATATAGAACTTTTGGGAAACCTCTTCTCCTGTCTTACCTTTGCAGATAAGGATACTCCAGACAAGCTGCAGCAAGCAAGTCTTCCCTTGTTGACCAATGAGGAGTGCAAGAAATACTGGGGCAACCGCATCGCCGACGTGATGGTCTGCGCTGGGGCTGCAGGAGCCTCATCCTGCATGGTATGTGCCCCCATCACTCAAGCCCTCCTCCGAGTAACACTTTCTCATGGAAGTCATGCCATGTCACTTCCAGCTGCCTTTTGTTGTCAAAACTAAAGCTGGATGGAGAATGGGTTGCCTTTAGGTATCTCATCCAACTCCAAGGCTTGACTCACCTTTACCTCACAGGCTAAGAGGGCTGAAGACCTTGTAGAACTACAGTCCCCAGGATGCCATAACTTTAGAGTTGGAAGAGATACCTAAAGGTTATGTAGTCTAACTTGAAAGTCATAAAAGTCATCTAGTCCAGCATAAAGGACATCTAGTCCAACATCTACCTCTAAAGGTCATCTAATCCAACCCCTGGTCCTAAAGCTAATCTAGTCCAATGTACAGCTCTAAAGGACATCTAGTTCAACTTACAGCCCTAAAGGTCATCTAGTCCAACCTCAAAGATAATCTACACCAACCACAGGCCTAAAGGTCATCTAATCGAACCCCAAAGGTTGCCTAATCCAACCCTCAGCCCTAAGGGACATCTAGTCCAACCCCAAAGGACATCTAGTCCAACATACAGCCCTAAAGTTCATCTAGTCCAACATATAGCTCTAGAGGTCATCTAGTCCAACCTCAAATTACATCTAGTCAAACATACATCCCTAAAGGTCATCTAGTCCAACCTCAAAAATTATCTAGTCCAACATACAACTCTAGAGGTCATCTAGTTCAACCCCAAAGGTCATATAGTCCAACATACAGTCCTAACGATCATCTAGTCTAATCCCAAAGGACATCTAGTCAAACATACAGCTCTAAAGGTCACCTAGTCCAACCCCAAAGGTCATCTAGTCCAATATACAGTCCTGACAGACATCTAGTCCAACCCCAAAGGTCATCTAGTCCAACACACAGCTCCAAAGGTCATCTAGTCTGACATACAGCCCTAAAGGTCATCTTGTTCAATCCCAAAGGTAATCTAGTCCAACTCCTAGGCCTAAAGGTCATCTAGTCTAACCCCAAAGGTCATCTAGTCCAACATACAGCCCTCAAGGTCATTGTGTCCAGCCCCTAAGATCATTGAGTCCAACATACAGCCCTAAAGCTCATCTAGTCCAACATACAATCCTAACGGTCATCTAGTCCAACCCATAGCCCAGGCAGGGATCCCACAGCTAAAACATCCCCTAGAGTTGGTTGTTAGATCTCTGTAGGCCCTTCCATGCAGCCATATAACCCAAAATATCAAGGCAGAGAATCCAGAATATTTGCTTTGAACTAGGTTATCTGAGTCTACACTTCCATATAATCCATTTCAATGTGGATTTTATACAGCTGTGTGGAAGGGGCCTGTGAGTGCATCTACACGATTGAATGGATGTATATTGAGCTGCCATGGCTCAGTGCTCCAGCATCCTGGTTGTCCAGCTCAGGGGTCAACGGCCCACTTCCCATTCTTTCCCCACAGAAACCCATCCCTGATGTTCTCCCTTTGTTTTGTGGCTTGCAGGGTGACTCGGGAGGCCCGCTGGTGTGTCAGAAGGACGGAGCCTGGACACTGGTGGGCATCGTCTCCTGGGGCAGCTCCACTTGCTCCCCGTCCAGCCCAGGGGTCTATGCCCGCGTCACGGAGCTCCTCCCCTTCATCGAGGAGACCCTGGCCCAGAACTAAGCCGGATTTTGACTACCGAACAATAAAGCCAGCATCGTCTCATTCTCTTTTGCGTCCTTTATTCTTGTTCAGCAATTTACATTTATTCAAATACAGTCACGCTGTCTTCTTTTGGGACAGCGCCATAATATTAAGTCAATAATATTATTTAATTTATATTCAATGATATATTAATAATATTGTTGTTTAATTCAGGGCGACCGTTGCTACACACAACAGACATATCGAACCATAAAATAATAACACTTCAATTATATTCATCAGTGGAACTCTCTTCTCCTTGGAAGCTTTGAAACAGAGGCTGGATGGCCATCTGTCAGGGATGCTTTGACATACTAAATGGGCCGTTCCTGAAGTCGGACATGACCCCGCCCCCCTAAAAGATAGTAACTTATAGTTTTGCTAAGGACAAGGACACCAGACTGGATAATAAGGGTTAAGCCTTGGTCAATTTGCCGAGACAATAACAACAAGGACCCTTCCCATGTTAGATAGTGTGTACATGTAATCAAGGTTTTATGCCCTAGGTTTCATATATAGCAGAAGATAGCACATTTATTACTGAGAAACCACCTCCCTTTACACTTATGTGCTCTCTTGAACTTCTATGGGACTCTGGTGGGAGGGATAAGTGGGTATATTTACTATAACATGATTTCTATATTTCTATATTCCTCCCTGTGTATCTGACCTCTTCCTGACCCTTTTGCCCAATTCACCTTTATTGAAAAATGTATAAAAATACAAGGCAGCCACCCCTGCGTGACCTTGGAAAGAAGGAAATCTCCAGTTGAAAAGACCCTTATCAAAAGATACTTTTTGCATGGGCAATAACAAAGGACCGTGATATCTGGCCTCGGAGTTGGCACCCCAGAGGAAGCGGTCACTTGGCATTTATGATCATATCTCAACAGGACAAAGGAAGCCTTTGGAAAGCCACACTTTGTCCTAATCTGTTACTGATTCAACTTTTATCCACTGAAACCACAGCCAAGAACACAGGTCCTGAACCGGTGCTTGGCCGCTGTGACGGTCTGGATGAGGGCGAACAAATTGAAATTGAATCCAGACAAGACAGAGGTACTCCTGGTCAGTCGCAAGGCCGAACAGGGCATAGGGTTACAGCCTGTGTTGGATGGGGCCACACTCCCCCTGAAGACGCAGGTTCGCAGCTTGGGTGTGACCCTGGACTCATCGCTGAGCCTGGAACCCCAGGTTTCGGCGGTGACCAGGGGAGCATTTGCACAGCTAAAGCTTGTGCGCCAGCTGCGCTCCGTACCTTGGGAAGTCTGACTTGGCCACGGTAGTCCACGCTCTGGTTACATCCCGTTTAGACTACTGCAATGCTCTCTACGTGGGGTTGCCTTTGAAGACAGCTCGGAAGCTCCAACTAGTCCAACGCTCGGCAGCCATGATTTTAACAGGAGCGGAGCGCAGGGAGCATACAACCCCCCTGTTGCGCCAACTCCACTGGCTACCGATCTGCTACCGGGCTGAATTCAAAGTGCTGGCGTTGGCCTTTAAAGCCCTAAACGGTTCCGGCCCAAGCTACCTATCTGACCGCATCTCTGCCTATGAACCCACCAGGACTTTGAGATCTTCCGGGGAGACCCTGCTCTCAATCCCGCCTGCTTCTCAAGCTCGGCTGGCGGGGACGAGAGATAGGGCCTTCTCGGTGGTAGCTCCTCGGCTGTGGAACGCCCTTCCTACGGACATTAGACTAGCACCATCTCTAATGGTATTCCGCAAAAAAGTGAAGACCTGGCTGTTTGAGCAGGCGTTCGAATAATTAGTGCAATGATTGGTTAATGAACACTGGAATGGAACAATGGATGACGAATCTGGAACATGTTTTTGATGACGAGACGACAGTGAATGGGTATTGTAGTAACTGTTTATTAATTGTGTAATGTGTTAGGTTGTTAACTGTTTCTATACTGTAGCACTGAATTTTTGCTGTTCTTATTTGTTGTGAACCGCTGTGAGTCGCCTTCGGGCTGAGAACAGCGGTATATAAGTTAAGTAAGTAAGTAAATAAATAAATAAATAAGATTCCTTCATTGTTTCTGTGTCTCAGCACTGGAAAAATCCGGATTGTGGCAGGCCTGCCAGACAATCAACGTTTATTGCAGCCATTCAAGGACAATAGCAAAGGCTAGCTCGCAGGCCCTTGGGACTCGCAGGTCACTTGGACATCTCAAAATCTCGATAATCCACTCAAGAATGCATTGTTTCCCCTTGTCCTGCCTCCCTCTCTCCTGATTCGTCAGGACGCCGAGGCAGCAGAAGCCCAATGATTGGCCCAGGTACTCAGGAGGCAGTCAAGCCTCCTCCCAGCTGTAGAGCGCCAGCCAATCATTGTCGAGCCGGCAGAGGGGCGGGGAATGGGAGATTCAAACCTGGCAGCTTGGTTTTATGTATAAAAAGGCCTTTATTTACATCCTTTTCAGCTGAGTCGCAATAAAATCATCTCGGTGGCACTTCCTTCAACTTTGGTGAGATTCTTTTGGGAACTTAGGGAAAAATCTTTTAAATTGTGGCTTCTCTTGCTCACCATTGTAGCAAGCCCTTTTTGGTGGGTCCGCAGGGTCTCTCCTTCAGGGCCAGATCCTTTAAAATTCCTCCATGATTTCACTCCCAAAAAACATTGGTGGAGTTCAGAGTCATGCACAAGTTTTGTGATGTTGTCTGAGTGAGAAAGGGACTGGCAACCATGTTGACAATAGGAAGGAAATCCTAAAAGACGAAATCCAAATGCCAGGAAATATTACCTATGGCCTTTGTATGGATGCATTTTCTTTCAAGTCCCCATTCAACTTATGGCAACCCCATAGATTTCAAAGGGTTTGGGTGAAACTACACCAGAGCTTTCCAAACTTCTTGCATGCTGCTATGCTTTTGAGAAACATGACGCAGCAATTCAGTTTTACTAGCAAACTGGAGGTTAAATCAACCCCTTATAAGAGTTTCATACACATATATAATCTTGTCAGATGCATGTATGTCTGTGTATTTATGGTATATCTATATAAATAAATCTATATAAATAAAAATGTAATGTTCATTTGTGGGATTAACAGAACTCAAAAACCACTGGACAAATTGACACGAAATTTGGACACAAGACACCTAACAACCCAATGTACGTCCTTCACTAAAAAAAAATAAATTGATTTTGTCATTTGGGAGTTGTAGTTGCTGGGATTTATAGCTCGCCTACAATCAAAGAGCATTCTGAACTCCATCAATGATGGAATTGAACCAAACTTGGCATGACCAATAGAAAATATTGCAAGGGTTTGGTGGGCAGTGTCCTTTGGTTTTGGAGTTGTAGTTCACCTACATCCAGAGATCACTGTGGACTCAAACAATGATGGATCTGGACCAAACTCTACACGAAGACTCAATATGCCCAAATGTGAACACTGATGGAGTTTGGGGGAAATAGAATCTCGACATTTGGGAGTTGTAGTTGCTGGGATTTATAGTTCACCTACAATCAGAGAGTATTCTGAACCCCACCAACCATAGAATTGGGCCAAACCTCCCACACAGAACAGCCATGTGGGCCACAGCAACACGTGGCAGGTGTGGCCCAATCTGTGTATATGTGTTTTGTGTGTGTATATATATTTGTTGATATGTGTATATATACATGAAGCCGTTGGGAGAGATCATCTGGAGTTTCGGGGTTCGGTTTCATCTGTACGCAGATGATGTCCAACTCTATCACTCTTTTCCACCTGCTACTAAGGAGGCTGTCCAGGCTGTGACGGTCTGGATGAGGGCGAACAAATTGAAATTGAATCCAGACAAGACAGAGGTACTCCTGGTCAGTCGCAAAGCCGAACAGGGTACGGGGTTACAGCCTGTGCTGGACGGGGTCACACTCCCCATGAAGGCGCATGTTCGTAGTTTGGGAGTTCTAGATTCATCACTGAGCCCCAGGTTTGGCGGTGGTCAGGGGAGCTTTTGCACAATTAAAACTTGTGCGCCAGCTGTGCCCGAACCTTGGAAGTCTGACTTGGCCACGGTGGGATGACGGGCCATGGATGATGGGACTTGCAGTACCTTAATTTACTTCCTGAAACCACTTCAACCCACACCAATGACTGATGAAACCCAAACTTGGCACACGGAGCCTCCATGACCCACTATGCATCCTGGTGCAATTTGGAGGAGGATGGACTATGGGACTTGCAAATGAGAGTTGTAGTTCACCTGCACCCACTGAACATATGTGACATTAGATCTTGATTAAACTCGGAACACAGACACACAAAGCCTTTCCCAAATAACTCGGGCACCGCCGGGTCCCCAAGCTAATATATATATATATAATATCAAAACAGCAGCCAATAATCTATGGTGAGAACTGTCATAAGGTATAAATATTCATTTTAGTGATATTAATTACGGTACTGCAAGCCATTCAACACATTGTGCAAATTAGAAAAGTTATAACTGTGGTTAAAGCACTTTTGCAGGGATTAAACATCTCTGGAAGTTTTTGAACTGCATGGCTCTCTATTGTGAGGGCTTTGATTGTTATTTATTTATATTTATTTATCATGTCAGTGCAACCAGTCGATTATATTACATTTCTAACAGAACAAAGCAAAAAAAAAAAAAAAAACAGACAAAATACGAAAATTGTGAGTTTGGTAGTTGATTAAATGTCCTTTGACCAGTATCTGGCCCCTTGGAGTGCCTCTGGTGTTGCCGCAAGAAGGTCCTCCCTGGTGCATGTGGCAGGGCTCAGGTTGCATTGCAGCAGGTGGTCAGTGGTTTGCTCTTCTCCACACTCGCATGTCGTGGATTCCACTTTGTGGCCCCATTTCTGAAGGTTGGCTCTGCATCTCGTGGTGCCAGAGCGCAGTCTGTTCAGCGCCTTCCAAGTTGCCCAGTCTTCTGTGTGCCCAGGGGGGAGTCTCTCATTTGGTATCAGCCATTGATTGAGGTTCTGGGTTTGAGCCTGCCACTTTTGGACTCTCGCTTGCTGAGGTGTTCCGGCGAGTGTCTCTGTAGATCTTAGAAAACTATTTCTTGATTTAAGTCGTTGACGTGCTGGCTGATACACAAACAGGGGATGAGCTGGAGATGTCTCTGCCTTGGTCCTTTCACTATTGGCTGCTACTTCCCGGCGGATGTCAGGTGGTACAATACCGGCTAAGCAGTGTAATTTCTCCAGTGGTGTAGGGCGCAGACACCCTGTGATAATGCGGCATGTCTCATTAAGAGCCACATCCACTGTTTTAGCGTGGTGAGATGTGTTCCACACTGGGCATGCATACTCAGCAGCAGAGTAGCACAGCGCAAGGGCAGATGTCTTCACTGTATCTGGTTGTGATCCCCAGGTTGTGCCAGTCAGCCTTCGTATGATATTGTTTCTAGCACCCACTTTTTGCTTGATGTTCAGGCAGTGCTTCTTGTAGATAAGAGCACGGTCCAGAGTGACTCCCAGGTATTTGGGTGCGCTGCAATGCTCCAGTGGGATTCCTTCCCAGGTAATAATCCTCAGAGCTCGGGATGCTTGTCTGTTCTTAAGGTGAAAGGCACATGTCTGTGTTTTAGATGGATTAGGGATCAGCTGGTTTTCCCTGTAATAGGCAGTAAGAGCACCTAGAGCTTCGGAGAGCTTCTGTTCAACCATCTCAAAGCTCCCTGCTTGAGCAGTGATGGCACGATCATCAGCATAGATGAAACTCTCTGTCCCTTCTGGCAGTGGCTGGTCATTTGTGTAGATGTTGAACATGGATGGAGCAAGCACGCTCCCCTGAGGCAGGCCGTTCTTCTGTTTCCGCCATCTGCTTCTCTGGCCCTGGAACTCAACAAAAGCTCCTGTTTTGTAGCAGGTTTCCTATGAGGCGGGTGAGGTGGTCGTCCTTTGTGATACTATACATTTTTCTCAGGAGGAGGCGGTGGTTCACAGTCTCATAGGCTGCTGACAGGTCTATGAAGACAGCTCCTGTGATCTGCTGCCTTTCAAAGCCATCTTCTATGTGCTGAGTCAGGTTCAGCACTTGCGATGTGCAGCTTTTGCCTTTCCTGAAGCCAGCTTGCTGTGGAATCAGACAGAGATCTATTTTTTCCATAATTCTATGCAAAATAAGTCTCTCCAGAACTTTGTAGAGGTGGCACAACAGGGAGATTGGTCTGTAGCTTTTTGGGTTTGGTTGTGTCTCCCCTGTTTAACTGAATGGGGTTAGGCTAGATACCCATTGGGGGTCCCTTCTTCTTGGGATTGACAAGGTCCTGAGCCTTCTCTGCCCAGGCAAACTGCAGCTCCCATGATCCCAAGGCATTTGAAGCGTTATCAAAGTGCGTTAAGTCCCCAGTGCGGATGCAGCCACAACCAAGCCGGTCCACCTTAAGATTTTTGGGGGCGGGCCTTCCTTCTGTTCCTCTGTCCTTCTTTCCCAGGGTCATGGCTCTCAGGAGAAGCTTCGGATCAGTTGCTTGGAGGGCCTACTCTCGAGGAGTAAGCAAGGTGCGTGCGGACAGACCTTGTCGCGGGATAATCCCGCGATAAGGTGCAGGAGGAGAGAAGCCTCCCCCTCCCTATTGGCTGGAGCTACACTGAACTTAGAATGCATTATATGGATCTACACTAACCATATATTGCATTGAACTCCATGATATGACCACCTAATGCAGGTTAGATGGGTCTGCACTGACCATTTAATGCAGTTCCAGCCTGCATTGAAGTCCATGATATGGGACTCTACACTTACTTATGTAATGCAGTTACAAAGTCCATTGAAGTGCATTACATGGCCATCTAATGCAGGTTGAACTGCATTGAACTCCATTATCTGGATCTGCAAACTGACCACCAAATGCAGTTCCAAACTGCATTGAACTCCATTATCTGGATCTGCAAACTGACCACCAAATGCAGTTCCAAACTGCTTTGTATCACAGTGTAGATCCAGCTTCTGGGTTTAGCAAACATGCATGCATACTTGACAGTCTATTGTTGTTGTTATTATTGCATTTGCTTTTACACACAAACATATATTTGCTTTTACACACAAACATATATTTGCTTTTACACACTAACATACACACACATATACATACATATACATATACATATGTATACACAATATAATATTCGATAGGGTGCAGGATGTATTTTCATTCCCTGGACTAAATTGAGCATAAATACCCAATATGCCCAAATGTGAATGCTAGTGGGGTTGGGGCGAGGATTGATTTTGTAATTTGGGAGTTGTAGTTGCTGGGATTTATAGTTCACCTATAATCAAAGAGTATTCTGAACTCCTCCAACAATAGAATTGAACCAAACTTGGCACACAGAACTCCCATGACCAACAGAAAATACTGAAAGGGTTTGGTGGGCATTGACCTTGAGTTTGGGAGTTGTAGCTCACCTATATCCAGAGGAGTGCTGTGGATTCATGCAATGATGGATCTGGACCTAACTTGGCACGAATACTCAATATGCCCAAATGTGAACACTGGCGGAGTCTGGGGGAAATAGACCTTGACATTTGGGAGTTGTAGTTGTTGGGATTTATAGTTCACTTACAATCAAAGAGCATTCTGAACTTGACCAACAATAGAATTGGGTCAAACTTCCCACACAGAACCCCCATGACCAACAGAAAATACTGTGTTTTCTGATGGTCTTTGGCGACCCCTTTGACACACCCTCATGACCCCCTCAGGGGTCCCGACCCCCAGGTTGAGAAACACTGGTCTATATCTATGTCTGGATGGATCCTTGTCAGAAGGGCTTTGATTATGTTTTCTTGCCCCGGTGAAGGGAGTTGGACTGGATGGCCTGAAGTATTTTCTGTTGGTCATGGGGGTTCTGTGTGCCAAGTTTGGTTCAATTCCATCATTGGTGGAGTTCAGAATGCTCTTTGATTGTAGGTGAACTATAAATCCCAGTAACTACAACTCCCGGATGTCAAGATTCTGTTTTCCCCACACTCGACCAGTATTCACATTTGGGCATATTGAGTATTTGTGTAGAGTTTGGTCCAGATCCACCATTGTTTGAATCCACAGTGATCTATGGATGTAGGTGAACTACAACTCCAAAACCAAAGGACACTGCCCATCAAACCCTTCTAGTGTTTTCTGTTGGTCATGGGAGTCCTGTGTGCCAAGTTTGGTTTAATTCCATCGTTGGTGGAGTTCAGAATGCTCTTTGATTGTAGGTGAACTATAAATCCCAGTAACTACAACTCCCAAATGTCAGGGTGTATTTTCCCAAAACTCCACCAGTGTTCACATTTGGGCATATTGAGTATTTGTGCCAAGTTAGGTCCAGATCCATCACTGTTTGGGTCCACAGTGCTCTCTGCATGTAGGTGAACTGCAAATCCCAAACTGAAGGTCAGTACTCACCAAACCCTTCCAGTATTTTCTGTTAGTCATGGGAGAACTGTGTGCCACGTTTGGTTCAATTCCATCATTGGTGGAGTTGAGAATGCTGTTTGATTGTAGGTGAACTATAAATCCCAGCAACTACAACTCCCAATTGACAAAATCAACCCTACTAGTACTCAAATTTGGGCGTATTGGTATTTGTGCCGAATTTGGTCCAGTGAATGAAAATACATCCTGCATATTGGATATTTACATTACAATTTATAACAGCAGCAAATTTACAGTTATGAAGCAGCAACGAAAATAATGTTATGGTTGGGGGTCACCACAACATAAGGATCTGTGTTAAGGGGTCGCAGCATTAGGGAGGTTGAGAAACACTGATCTATGGATTTGGGTCTCTAAGTGGGCTTTAGGACCAAACTCAAAAGGATACCATTTGCTTTGCTAATATTCCTCCCTTGTCTGTTGTCTGCATTCTTCCTCCTGATGTTGTTACTCCAAGGATTGGCTAACAGAGGACTTCCTTGACTCCTTGAGAGCGGTGGTGGGGAGTCCCAACGTCTCTACAGCCTCTGCGGTTCGCGAACAACACGGCCATGATGAATCCATGCACAGGTATATATTGCACTATGCAACAAAAATGGGAAAAAGTTCTGTTCCTGGTGTTCTACTCCAGAGCAGGATCCCCTCTGACTTTAAACACCACACCATTGGGTTTATTTATTTATTTATTTCGAACATTTTCACCCCGCCCTTCTCAACCTCTGGGGGGACTCAGGGCGGCTTACAATTGGCAATAATTCAATGCCGCTTCATAAAACACAGAATAACGAATATAGCAATTAAACCTGAGCATTAATAAATAAAGATTAAAACAGTATACTTACATAGAAAACTAGCAAGCATTTTATTGAAGGTAAAATAGCAAGCAGTTTATTAAAATAGCAAGCAGTTTATTGAAGGTAAAATAGCAAGCAGTTTATTAAAATAGCAAGCAGTTTATTGAAGGTAATAAAAACCAAAGTAATAAAAAGTAATCCACAGTAAAAGGCAAATCCTGTAGGAGCTCAGCCGACTGGAGTTGTTGCAGTGCCTCAAGAAGAGGATGACTGTTATGTTCAATCTCCTTCAGAGCAGGACCCTTCAGAGTTTTCTATGTTGGATTTTAATATATATTCTCAGGGGTCTGTGAATGAAAGAGAGGGCACAGAACAAACTGCAGTGCAAGGAACGTTAGAAGACTCTGGGATTGTTAGTTCTCAAGATAAAATAGTTTCCAGACAGTCTGATGGGAACCAACTTGTGTTGATAGATAAGGAAAGTGAAAGGAATGTGTTAATGAGCAACCGGGAGGAATCAACCTTTGATAGAAGGGGTCAAATCTGTCAAGATCGCCACCTGCAAGGGCGAGTCCGAAAGTCTGTCAGGATAAGGAAAAAGAGGAATTTGAAGGAGAGTTCTCAAAGGAATCGGAATGTATTTTGTGTAGGTCTTTTTGAATAAATATAGGGCTTTCACAGCATTGCCTTCAGTGAGCACAACGTCGGTTACTGGCCAAGTCTTGTATGTATGTCACGTCAAGATTCATGGAACTCTCTGCTCAAGACTCATGTTCAAGTTGCTGTTGGTGAATGTTTCTCTGTGTAATTCTTCTGTGGATTTTGGATCTGTGCAACCTGGTTCCCTGGCTTTTCAAGAGACTTTGGACATTTTCCTCTGTGGGTTTTTTAAGACTATGCATTTGTGGATCTTGCTGTGGAATTAAGATTCAACTCTGCTCTCTTTCATGGATTATATTTGTCTACCTGCTGGTTTGGATTGTTTTTAGACTTTCTTACATCATCTTTTACTTGCCTTTTTCACCTTTTTTGATACTGCTTACATTTATTCAATAAACTGTTTAATTGCTAAAGAACTTTGGAGTATTTATGGGTTCAAAGGTGTGCTTTCAGCCTTGGTGTGCGTCAAATCCAATCGATTAGGAAGAAAAAGGCACAATTAGTCCAAGGAGAAGTAGTCCAAAAGAGTCCATGAGACTAGATACTTGAATTCAAAGGCAAATAACGGCACAGGCATTTAATTCCATGAATCAGACAAAGGCAAAAGTCCAAGAACTTGGCATGAAGAACTTAACGTGAATCCAACGTTGCTTCGTCTGAAGCTAGATTCTGTACTTGGCACTTATATCCCTGCCTTATTTCCCAAACAGCTCAAAACGGATTTTTCCTTAACTTTGGTTTCACTTCTAACTTCTGCTATAATCTGGATGAGCGTCGTAATTGTTGGATCATGGTATCCTTCTGGGACGCCTCGCAGACATGGGACTTGGGGGGACTGCCTTGCAGTGGCTCCAGTCCTTTCTTGAGGAACGGTCCCAGAAGGTGTTACTGGGTGACACCTGTTTGGCCCCACAGCCGTTGTCGTGTGGAGTCCCACAGGGTTCGATTCTGTCCCCAATGTTGTTTAACATCTACATGAAGCCGCTGGGGGAGATCATTCGGAGTTTCGGACTGAGGTGTTATCTCTACACAGATGATGTCCAGATCTGTCACTCCTTCTCACCTGTCACCAAGGAGGCTGTCCAGACCTTGAACCTGTGTCTAGCTGCTGTGTCGGACTGGATGAGCGCTAACAAATTGAAATTGAATCCAGACAAGACAGAGGTCCTACTGGTCAGTCGCAAGGCCAAACAGGGCATAGGGTTACAGCCTGTGCTGGACGGGGTTACACTCCCCCTGAAGACACAGGTTCGCAGCTTGGGTGTGATCCTGGACTCATCGCTGAGCCTGGAACCTCAGGTTTCAGCGGTGGCCGGGAGAGCTTATGCACAATTAAAACTTGTGCACCAGTTGCGTCCGTACCTTGGGAAGTCTGATCTGGCCACAGTGGTCCACGCTCTTGTTACATCCCGAATAGACTATTGCAACACACTCTACGTGGGGTTGCCCTTGAAGACTGTTCGGAAACTTCAACTGGTCCAGCGAGGGGCAGCCAGATTGCTCACAGGAGCGACATACAGGGAGCACACCACCCCCCTGCTGTGTCAGCTCCACTGGCTGCCTGTTCAGTTCCGAGCACAAGTCAAGGTGCTGGTTTTGACCTACAAAACCCTTTATGGTTCCGGTCCAGTGTATCTGTCCGAACGTATCTCCCTCTACGTCCCACCCCGGAATTTGAGATCATCTGGGGAGGACCTGCTCTCAACCCCACCGTTATCACAAGTGAGGTTGGTGGGGACGAGGAGCAGGGCCTTCTCAGTGGTGGCCCCTCACCTGTGGAACTCACTCCCAGGGGAAATCAGGGCATCAACATCCCTCCTCTCCTTCAGGAGGAAGGTAAAGATGTGGTTGTGGGACCAGGCAATCTGACAACTAGATATGGACAACCAGATGGATAGGACTGACAGGACTGACCATTGTGGAATTGGAATTTGAACTATGAGATTGCGAAACGCTGACCGTCAATGACGAGAAATGGTTTGTATTGGTTTCATTGCTTTTACTGGTTTTATGGTTGTTTTCGCCTTGCAAGAATTGTTGTTTCTGTTAATTGATGTTATTGCTAGAATTGCTGTTTTCTGTTAATTGATGTTATTTTGTCTTATTGTTGTTATGTGATGCGGGCATCAAATTGTGCCTTGCTTGTGTAAGCCGCCCTGAGTCCCCTTCGGGGTGAGAAGGGTGGGGTAGAAGCAACCGAAATAAATAAATAAATAGCAAAATGTGCTTCAGGTTGTCCCTCTCACAAAAACAACCACAACAACAAAGTTTGGGTAGTTTAATCAACTTTTCCATGTTTTTATGATAGAACCAAATAGGAAATGACATTGAGAACCCAGGAACAAATTGAGTCGTGTCTCACTGTTTTAGGTGCCGTCCGCCAGATGCCGTGGTCTGGCCCCAGAACGTGGAACACGTCAGCCTCCTGGCCCAAGCGTGCTACAGCCGTGGGGCTCCCATCATCCCCTTTGGGACCGGGACCGGGCTGGAAGGCGGTGTTGGCGCTGTGCAGGTAGATGGAGACTCACAGGTGAATTGGGGAGGAGGATGGACCACAGGTGAGAGCGGCAATGAGGGGAATATTCCTCAGAGTATGAGATGGAACCATATTGTTGGAGCTCCAGAAATGGGCATAGTACTTCCATGAGTTCTGGTTCCATATATTACTCGACTCAGATCTAATGCTCACAATTTTTTGGGCTGAACGACCTTGCCCTCCCCTCCCCTCCTTGATTTTCCTGATTTCCATGGACAGGGTGGTGTTTGCTTTGACTTGACTCAAATGGACCAGATATCAGATCTGAACCCAGAGGACTTCACCGTCACCGTTGAACCCGGAGTGACCCGCAAGACTCTGAACAACTTCCTGCGTGGAAGCGGTCTCTGGTTTCCGGTCGGTATGTCTGTCCTCCATTTTGGAGAAAGGGAAAACAATGTGTGGCTATTGCATTGGGGCTGGAGGCCAAATGGTCACTTGCAGCACCTGCTAGGGATACGCCAGACCCTACTGAGTCCAGGGGGACCCGTTGGGCAATTTCCAAAAAAGGAAACAACAGTTTTAAAATTTATTTATCGTGTCATCAGCAACCATACATTTGTATTACATATTTAACAAAACAAACAAACAGACAGACAAAACACAGAGTTCGCAAGCTTGGTAGTTGATTAAATGTCCTTTGACCAGTATCTGGCCCCTTGGAGTGCCTCTGGTGTTGCCGCAAGGAGGTCCTCCATCGTGCATGTGGCAGGGCTCAGGTTGCATTGCAGCAGGTGGTCAGTGGTTTGCTCTTCTCCACACTCGCATGTCGTGGATTCCACTTTGTGGCCCCATTTCTCAAGGTTGGCTCTGCATCTCATGGTGTCAGAGCGCAGCCTGTTCAGCGCATTCCAAGTCGCCCAGTCCTCTGTGTGCCCAGGGGGGAGTCTCTCATTTGGTATCAGCCATTGGTTGAGGTGCTGGGTTTGAGCCTGCCACTTTTGGACTCTCGCTTGCTGAGGTGTTCCAGCGAGTGTCTCTGTAGATCTTAGAAAATTATTTCTTGATTTAAGTCGTTGACGTGCTGGCTGATACCCAAACAGGGGATGAGCTGGAGATGTCACTGCCTTGGTCTTTCACTATTGGCTGCTACTTCCCGGCGGATGTCAGGTGGTGCAATACCGGCTAAACAGTGTAATTTCTCCAGTGGTGTAGGGCGCAGACACCCCGTGATAATGCGGCATGTCTCATTAAGAGCCACATCTACTGTTTTAGTGTGGTGAGATGTGTTCCACACTGGGCATGCGTACTCAGCAACAGAGTAGCAAAATGCAAGGGCAGATGTCTTCACTGTGTCTAGTTGTGATCCCCAGGTTGTGCCAGCCAGCTTTCGTATGATATTGCTTCTAGCACCCACTTTTTGCTTGACATTCAGGCAGTACTTCTTGTAGGTCAGAGCACGGTCCAGACTGACTCCCAGGTATTTGGGTGCGCTGCAATGCTCCAGTGGGATTCCTTCCCAGGTGATCTCAGAGCTCGGGATGCTTGTCTGTTCTTAAGGTGAAAGGCACATGTCTGTGTTTTAGATGGATTAGGGATCAGCTGGTTTTCCCTGTAATAGGCAGTAAGAGCACCTAGAGCTTCGGAGAGCTTCTGTTCTACCATCTCAAAGCTCCCTGCTTGAGCGGTAATGGCACGATCATCAGCATAGATGAAGCTCTCTGTCCCTTCTGGCAGTGGTAGGCCTTTCTTCTGTTTCCGCCATCTGCTTCTCTGGCCCTGGAACTCAACAAAGAAGCTCCTGTTTTGTAGCAGGTTTCCTATGAAGCAGGTGAGACGGTAGTTTTAAAATGTAAATCAGCAACAACAGCATTAGCAGCAGTTCAGCAGACCTGAAGCTCCTAGTGCCAGCAGTAGAGCAACTTAGCTGAAGCAATAAAGACATATAGGAACATCCAAGGTTGTGCTTCTTGGTGGGTTTCTTGGCCCTTTTCCCTGCTGAACTGAGAGAAACTGGTGCAGGTTATCTTGGCCGGACCATGAATGGATTTTGGATGGCCAGTGGTCTCTTGCTACTCCATCTCATGGTCCTTTTCCATTTGCAGACCCTGGAGCAGATGCCTCTCTGTGCGGCATGGCGGCCACCGCAGCCTCTGGCACCAACGCCGTGCGCTATGGCACCATGCGCCAGAATGTGCTCAACCTGCAGGTGGTGCTGCCCGACGGGAAGGTGCTCCACACAGCTGGACGGAACCGCAGGCCCAGGTAGGTGGTATACCAAGCAATCCCGTGGCCCTTCATATCTTGTCGGACTATATCTCCCATCAGCTCTAGATAGTGCAGCCTTTGGAGATGAATGCCGGGAGGTATTCCAACAACATCTGGAGCGACACTTGCTTTTCTGCTCGATATTAAAATGCTGACTAAATCGTACTTCAAACTACAGTATTGCAAGGCTTTCCTCCTCTTCCCTCCTGCGCAGGAAGAGCGCGGCCGGCTACCACCTGACGGGGCTGTTTGTGGGCTCGGAGGGCACCCTGGGCCTCATCACTCAGGCTACGCTGCGCCTCCACGGTGTCCCTGAAGCGACTGTTGCTGCCGTGTGCGCCTTCCCCTCTGTCAAAGAGGCCGTGGACAGCACCGTCCAGGTCCTGCAGGCCGGCATCCCTGTGGCACGCATCGGTGAGTGGAGTCCCTGCCTCTCCAGGGACCCTGTCCAGTGTCCAGTTTTGGAAACATCTAAGGATTCACGGTTTTTAATTTGGTCACCCTTCGCTGGATATGTTCCATCCGGCGCATGTATTCCAATATTTCCAGAATTCCTGGACGACGTGATGATAGGCGCCTGCAACCGCTACAGCAATCTCAACTACGCGGAGCTGCCCACACTGTTTCTGGAGTTTCACGGAAGTGAGCACGGCGTTGCGGAGCAGGTCCAAGCGGCAGGTATGTATCTGAAATAATCTTGGGAATGCTCCCACCGTAACTCTACGTGACGTCCGAAGCTAAACCACTGCAGTGGGGCTTTGAGCCAAAGCTTGCCTTCGCAGGGGAGATTGTGAAGTCGAACGGCGGTTCAGACTTCGCGTGGGCACAAGAGCAGGAGGCCCGGAATCAACTCTGGACGGCACGGCACAACGCCTGGTACGCAGCCCTGGCGCTCCGCCCCGGATGGAAGGTGCGTCACTTGGTGTTTTTGGACTTTCTAAAAGTCTCAATGTATCATTATATATTATTATCTATCTATTGTTGTTGTTCATTCGTTCAGTCGTCTCTGACACTTCGTGACCTCACGGACCATCCCACGCCAGAGCTCCCTGTCGGCCGTCACCACCCCCAGCTCCTTCAAGGTCAGTCCAGTCACTTCAAGGATGCCATCCATCCATCTTGCCCTTGGTCGGCCCCTTTCCTTTTGCCTTCCACTTTCCCCAGCATCATTGTCTTCTCCAGGCTTTGCTGTCTCCTCATGATGTGGCCAAAGTACTTCAACTTTGTCTCTAGTATCTTTCCCTCCAGTGAGCAGTCGGGCTTTATTTCCTGGAGGATGGACTGGTTGGATCTTCTCGCAGTCCAAGGCACTCTCAGAACTTTCCTCCAACACCACAGCTCAAAAGCATCTCTCTTCCTTCGCTCAGCCTTCCTTAATGGTCCAGCTCTCACATCCGTAGGTGACTACAGGGAATACCATGGCTTTGACTAGGCAATGGATCTTTGTTGCCAGTCTGATGTCTCTACTCTTTACTATTTTATCGAGACTGGACATTGCTCTCCTCCCAAGAAGGAAGCGTCTTCTGATTTCCTGGCCACAGTCTGCATCTGCAGTCATCTTTGCACCTAGAAATACAAAGTCTGTCACGGCCTCCACATTTTCTCCCTCTATTTTCCAGTTGTCAATCATTCTTGTTGCCATAATCTTGGTTTTTTTGACGTTTAGCTGCAACCCGGCTTTTTCGCTTTCTTCTTTCACCTTGATTAGAAGGCTCCTCAGCTCCTCCTCGCTTTCGGCCATCAGAGTGGTGTCATCTGCATATCTGAGGTTGTGAATGTTTCTTCCAGCAATTTTCACCCCAGCTTTGCATTCCTCAAGCCCCGCACATCCTGCATGATGTGTTCTGCATACAAGTTAAAAGGTTGGGTGAGAGGATGCAGCCTTGCCGTACGCCTTTCCCAATCTTGAACCAGTCTGTTGTTCCGTGGTCAGTTCTGACTGTTGCTCCTTGGTCCTTGTACAGATTCCTCAGGAGAGAGGGAAGGGGGCTTGGGATGCCCATCCCGCCAAGAACTTGCCACAATTTGTTATGATCCACGCAGTCAAAGGCTTTAGAATAGTCAATGAAGCAGAAGTAGATGTTTTTCTGAAACTCCCTGCCTTTCTCCATTCTCCAGCATCCGGATATTGGCAATTGGTCTCTCGTTCCTCTGCCTTTTCTAAACCCAGCTTGAACATCTGGCAACTCTCTCCATGTCTTGCTGGAGTCTTCCTTGCAGGATCTTGAGCATTACCTTACTGGCATGAGAAATAAGGGCCACTGTACGGAAGTTTGAGCAGTCTTTCGCATTTCCCTTTTTTTGTATGGGGATAGAAGTTGATTTTTTCCAGTCTGATGGCCGTTCTTGTGTTTTCCATATTTGCTGGCATATGGCATGCATCACCTTGACAGCATAACATATATACATACACATATATACATATACACATGCACACACATACATATATACACATACATACACTCATATATACATAGACACAAGCACACACATATACATTACACATATAAACACACAAAAACACAAAAATATACAGATGTATACACACATATATACACATATACATAAATATATACACAGACATAAACACATACACACACACACAAAACATAATAATAAATATTTATTTATTATTTATTTACTACATTTATACGCCACCCTTCTCACCCCGAAGGGGACTCAGAGCAGCTTATATGTGTATGTGTATATATACACATACATATACATACATACATACAATATATTTTATTATTAGCATAGTATTAAAGATTACTATATTGTACTATACCATTATATTGTAATATTATTAGTAATATTACACGTAATATAACTATATAATTATAATATCATATTATTATATTGCATTACATTATAATAGTATAAATATTATATGTATATACAATATATTATATTACATTATATTATATTATTAGCATAGCACAGGAGACAAGGTGTGCTATGATAATATAATATACATAGACTGGGCCACAGCAATGTCTGGCAGGGGACAGCTAGTCTATATAAATAAAAATGTAATGTTCGTTTGTGGGATTAACAGAACTCAAAACCCACTGGGGGAATTGACACCAAATTTGGACACAAGACACCTGACAGTCCAATTTATGTCCTCCACTCAAAAAATTGTCTTTGTCATTTGGGAATTGTCGTTGCTGGGATTTATAGTTCACCTACAATCAAAGAGCATTCTGAACTCCACCAATGATGGAATTGATCCAAACTTGGCACACAGACCATGACCAACAGAAAAAACTGGAAAGGTTTGGTGGACATTGACCTTGAGTTTGGGAGTTGTAGTTCACCTACATCCAGAGAGCACTGTGGACTCAAACAATGATGGATCTGGACCAAACTTGACACAAAAATTCCATATGCCTAAATATGAACACAGATGGAGTTTGGAGGAAATAGACCTTGACATTTGGGATTTGTAGTTACTGGGATTTATAGTTCACCTACAATCAAAGAGCATTCTGAACTCCACCAATGATGGAATTGAACCAAACATGGCATACAGGACTTCCATGACCAACAGAACACAATGGAAGGGTTTGGTGGGCATTGACCTTGAGTTTGGGAGTTGTAGTTCACCTACATCCAGAGAGCACTGTGGACTCAAACAATGATGGATCTGGACCAAACTTGGCACAAATATTCCATATGCCCAAATATGAACACAGATGGAGTTTGGGAAATAGACCTTGACATTTGGGAGTTGTAGTTGCTGGGATTTATAGTTCACCTACAATCAAAGAGCATTCTGAACTCCACCAATGATGGAATTGAACCAAACATGGCATACAGGACTTCCATGACCAACAGAACACACTGGAAGGGTTTGGTGGGCATTGACCTTGAGTTTGGGAGTTATAGTTCACCTACATCCAGAGAGCACTGTGGACTCAAACAATGATGGATCTGGACCAAACTTGACACAAAAATTCCATATGCCTAAATATGAACACAGACGGAGTTTGGAGGAAATAGACCTTGACATTTGGGATTTGTAGTTACTGGGATTTATAGTTCACTACAATTAAGGAGCATTCTGAAACCCACAAACGACAGAAATGGGGCAAATTTCCCACACAAAACCCCCATGACCAACAGAAAATACTTGAGGCCAACCGGTCCAACTCTCTTCATCAGGGCAAGAAAATGTAATCAGAGCCCTCCTGACAAAGAGCCATCCCGCCATAGATATAGATAGATAGATATGATTCACACACACACACACACAGAGATATAGTATCACAGATTTGAAAGAGACCCTTAAAGAAGGACAATGATATGTTGCATATTCCAGAGTAGGCAAACCAGACACTCTCCACATCAACACTGACAAAGAAACAACAAGAAATACTGTTTACTCACAAGCAGAAGGAATTACATATATTAGAAACCAACACTTTCTCATTACTTTATTTTCCAGATCACCAGACTGGGCCACAGCAACGTCTGGCAGGGGACAGCTAGTATATTCTATAAAGCTTTCTTTTTTCTTTCTCCACTTGCAGGGCTACTCCACGGACGTCTGCGTCCCGATCTCCCGCCTTCCCGAAATATTGGTGGAAACCAAGAAAGACTTGCTGGAGTCCAAGATTATAGGTAAGGAGCCAGTGGGTTGAAAGCAACAAAGAGATCGATTTCTCTTCTGCAACAGAAAGCCGCGTCAATCCTTCCCAGAAATGCAGAATCCATAAAAAGTATGTGAAATGATGTGTGAAACGGATCACCATGCACACATACACAGCAAGCATTCAGTACCAGTTTTTAGACATACAGGACAGAAAGACAGACAAAAGTATTTTGGCATTTTCCAACTTTGGTGCTTGGAGGTTATGCTCAATTCCGGCCACAGGGGGGTGCTGTCGCTCCTTCCACTATAACGACGAAACCTTTTGATTGCAGAATTTTCTTTCCTTTGTTCTTTAATCCCCGGCATTTTTATGGTGCCATAAAATACCTCCCCGCTAAGCGGTGACTAATTTCTCTAGTCACAGCTCAACAGTTGTTTTTGAACTGCTTAGGTGGACAGTGAGCTAGGCTAATGGTCAGTTGCTCAATCCGACTTGGGCTTCAAATTTGCCACCTTCCAGTCAGCAGTGATCTATTGCTGCTGGCAATTAACCAGCTGTGCTGCAGCCCGGCCAGGAATATAAATACTGTAAGTAAGTAAATAAGTAAATAAATAAATAAATATAGATACTGCAAATAAATAAATATACTGTTAAAAAAACCCCACTTTGAGTCCCTCCAGGTGTGAGAAAGATGGTATATAAATACTGTAAATAATAATAATAAGAAGAAAAAGAAGCAAATAAATAATTATAAATACCGCAAATAAATAAATACTGTAAATAAATAAACAAACATAAATACTGAAAATAAATAAATAAATACAAATACTGCAAATAAATAAATACAAATACTGTTTTAAAAAACCCCGCTTTGAGTCCCTCCAGGGGTGAGAAAGGCAGTATATAAATACTGTAAATAATAATAATAATAATAATAAGTAAATAAATAATTATAAATACTGAAAATAAATAAATACTGTAAATAAATAAATAAACATAAATACTGCAAATAAATAAAAAAATACTGTTTTAAAAAAAACCCGCTTTGAGTCCCCCCAGGGGTGAGAAAAGCAGTATATAAAAACTGAAAACAAATAAAAAATAAATACTGTAAATAAATAAATAATAAAAATACTGTAAATAATAATAATAATAATAAGTAAATAAATAATTATAAATACTGAAAATAAATAAATACTGTAAATAAATAAATAAACATAAATACTGCAAATAAATAAAAAAATACTGTTTTAAAAAAAACCCACTTTGAGTCACCCCAGGGGTGAGAAAGGTGGTATATAAATACTGTAAATAATAATAATAATGATAATAATAATAATAAGTAAATAAATAATTATAAATACTGCAAATAAATAAATAAATAAAACTGTAAATAAATAAAGAAATATCAATACTGCAAATAAATATAAATACTGTAAATAAATAAAGAAATAAATAAAAATACTGTAGAATACATCACTTTGAGTCCCCCCAGGGGTGAGAAAGATGGTATATAAATACTGTAAATAATAATAATAATAATAATAATAATAATAATAATAATAATAAGTAAATAAATAATTATAAATACTGTAAATAAATAAATAAATAAATAAATAAAAATACTACAAATAAATAAATAAATAGAAATACTGCAAATAAATAAATAAAAATACTGTAAATAAATAAATACATAAATAAATATTTCAATGAATATCTCATCGAATCTCAACCAATTCAACAACGAAGTTTCCGGAGTAGAATAACTACCTTCAAAATGAGGACTGCACAATTAAACAGGAATAACACTTTCAAACCAGGAACAGAACATTTTGCAATATTTTTTACATAGTGTAATCAAATCACCCCCGACAGATGGCCATCCAGCCTCTGTTTAAAAGCCTCCACAAAGGAGCAGCTTCCACCATACTCCAAGGCGGAGAGTTCCACTGTTGGATAGCTCTCCTTACAGTCAGGAAGTTCTTCCTAAGGTTCAATGGAATCACCTTTCTTGGGATTTGAACCCATTGCTCTGAGTCTTAGCTTCCAGGGCAGTAGAAAACAGGCTTCTTCTCTCTTCCTTATGACATCCTTTCAGATATTTAAACCAGGCAAATCAAAGGCATCCTGCCACAAAATACCGCAAGGAAACGTTAGTGTCCAGTAGTTTTGCCTTATTAACAAAGTGGGAGTCTTGTGGACATACTCCCTGCTCATCTTGAAGTTTACAGTGTGGACTTGGGCAAGTGACTTTGAGGCCAAAGTCTCCGGTGGAGTAAATATTCCTCCAATATTTTTGACAACAGTGAGATAAAGGGGGGGACATATCGTCAGCTAATAATTGGCTCAGAGATAAAAGGTGATGTAGTCCGAACCCACCAAGAGTGGCGCCAGTTTAGGTCTGCTCTCTTTTTATGATGCATTCGCAGGTCCCATTGTCGGACACGTCGGAGACGGGAATTTCCACTGCCTCCTGATTCACGATCCTGAAGACGAAGGACATAGAAGGAGCGTGGCGGACTTTGCCGAGCGGCTGGGAAAGTAAGGCCTGACTCTAGACATTTTATTTTATTTCCTACTAGCTTGGGGACCCGGCGCTGCCCAGGTTTCACACACTATTCTGGCTGCGATCATTAAATAGTTGAATAACTGTTCGGCAGTGCATATACTAAAATTGGAACAATACAGAGAAGATTAGCATCTCCATAAACGTTTCTTGATGCCATCTCTTTCATGCAATGCTTTCCGAAGAGCATTTTGGTCTCTCATGTTGATGAATTCTATGCTTGTGCCATTTCCCCAACCTCAGGCGGGCGCTGGCGATGGACGGCACCTGCACCGGTGAACACGGCGTGGGCTTGGGCAAGCGGCAGCTCCTTCGTGAGGAAGTGGGTGAAGTGGCACTCGCCACCATGCGACAAATCAAGGCAGCACTGGACCCCAAGCACCTCATGAACCCCGGGAAGGTCTTGTGACTGCCTTCGTCCTGTGGCCAATTTGGCACCCCATCCCAAAGGCTTACCTAAACCCACCCTCCTTGGACACCTAGTAATAATCTGCACTCTATTCTCCAAAGGTTAGAATCATCTTGGCGACTACTCCGAGTTTGCAATAGGGCGAAAGCTTTTCCAGGCATTGCCCAACACGTTTCATCCTAGTTATGCTATCTATATAAATAAAAATGTAATGTTAGTTTGTGGCATTAACAGAACTCAAAAACCACTGGACGAATTGACACCAAAATTTGGACACAATACACCTAAACCAATGAATGTCCTTCACTCAAAAAAATTGATGTTGTCATTTGGGAGTTGTAGTTGCTGGGATTTATAGTTCACCTACAATCAAAGAGCATTCTGAACCCCACCAACGAACCAAACTTGGCACACAGTTCTCCTATGACCAACAGAAAATACTGGAAGGGTTTGGTGGACAGTGTCCTTTGGTCGTGGAGTTGTAGTTCACCTACATCCAGAGATCACTGTGGACCCAAACAAGGATGGATCTGGACCAAACTCTACACAAATACTCAATATGCCCAAATGTGAACACTAGTGGAGTTTGGGGAAAATAGAATCTTGACATTTGGGAGTTGTAGTTGCTGGGATTTGTAGTTGACCTACAATCACAGAGCATTCTGAACCCCACCAACGATGGAATTGAACCAAACTTGGGACACAGTTCTCCCATGACCAACAGAAAGTACTGGAAGGGTTTGGTGGGCAGTGTCCTTTGGTTGTGGAGTTGTAGTTCACCTACATCCAGAGATCACTGTGGACTCAAACAAGGATGGATCTGGACCAAACTCTACACAAATACTGGGATTTGTAGTTCACCTACAATCACAGAGCATTCTGAACCCCACCAATGATGGAATTGGGCCAAACCTCCCACACAGAACCCCCATGACCACCAGAGTGGGCTACAGCAATGCGTGGCAGGGAACGGCTAGTAGTAGAAGGAAAATGAAAATCCTGTTGTTGCTTATTGGGTTGAGTGAATCCTGCCGTTAAAGGGATGGAGCCTCTGCTGCGAAGAAAAGCCGCAAGACGGTTATTACAGCTGCTAACTTCCTGAGAGCCTCAGGTGCAACAATGGATATGCTGTTTTCGCACCTTTGGAAACACCTGTTTGATGTGCAAGCAAGCACTGGTTGCACCATCAAAGTGAAATAAATCATAGAGTGTTTCCATGCAGAAAAGGAGAATAAGTCACACAGCGAGGGGCTTCCTTGGCCCAAAGATAATGCAGGCTACACAGTGGATGATTTGATAATAGACAATGCAAACCTGGAACCATCCACCAATATGTCATTGACATCCAGGAACTTTGTAAAGGGCTACAACACAAGTGATGTAAAGCTTACCTTTTTGACATTTCAGCTTCTGCTACTACTTTGTGCCTCTTTCTTATAGAAGGTAGCCCAAATTAATTTAAGTGCTATACAACATGTTAGTATAGTCGGGCTTTCATTGTGTGGGTTTAACTTCTGTGGGTTTGATTAATATAGTCTTGCTAGGAATCACTGGGTCTTCCACCATGTTCTCTCTCTCTCCCCCTCCCCTTCCTTCTTCGCCCCTAATATATTTTCCCCTTTTCTCTCTTCCCTCCCTTATTTTCCTTTCCTCCCTTCTTCATATATTTCCCTTTCTCTCTTCTTTCCCTTGTTTTTCCTTTCCTCCCTTCCCTTCCTTATCCCCTAATATATTTTCCCCTTTCCTTTCTTCCTTCCCTTGTTTTCCTTTCCTCCTTTTTTCCTTCTTCATATATTTCCCTTTTCCTCTCTTCCTTCCCTTATTTTTCCTTTCCTCCCCTCCCTTCCTTCCTCTCCCCTAATATATTTTCCCCATTCCTCTCTTCCCTTATTTTCCTTTCCTCCCCTTCCTTCCCTAATACATTTCCCCTTTCCTCTCTCCTTTCCCTTATTTTCCTTTCCTCCCTTCTTCATATATTTCCCTTCCTCTCTTCTTTCCCTTATTTTCCTTTCCTCCCCTCCCCTTCTTTCCTTCTTTATATATTTTCCCTTTTCCTCTCTTCCCTTATTTTCCTCCCCTCCCCTTCTCTCCTTCTTCATATATTTTCCCCTTTCCTCTCTTCCTTTATTTTCCTTTCCTCGCCTCTCCTTTCCTTCCATCTTTTTCTCTCCCAATATATTTTCCCCTTTCCTCTCCTCCTTCCCTTATTTCCTGTAAAACTACAGTAGTCATAGATTTTAATTCTCGATTGGATTCTTAGTGGTACGTCCCTTTCCTACCCTCCCTCCTTCTTTGGCACCATGATAGTATGTGAACAAGGGTCTAGTAATTGCAACGTAGGTTGAATGCACTCACCTGAGGGCATTCAGATTATGTTAAACATTGACTCGAGTCAGCCCGTGATTTGCCTGGACTTCCGTCTTCATATATTTCCCTCTGGCCTTCCTTACACTTATGTTTCATTTCCTACCTCACCTAAAGTCATTCATATATGTGCCCCTTTGACTTTAGGAACATACGGTGGTGAATGAACAATAAATTCTGATTTTAACTTAGATATGTTTCACACAAGATGCACTATCTGTTATCCCTAGTAGGAATATCTCTTCTTTGAAAGGGATTCATATAGTTAACATTTCCTGTAATGAAGCATGTTCTATTCACTCATTCTGATTCTCATCAATTTCAGCTTCTCTCATCCCCAACACAAAAATGATCTAAATTACAGCCTCGCCATTCATGTATGTCTTATATTTGTTGTTTCCTTCCCTTATTTTCATTTCCTCCCTTTCCTTCCTTCATATATTTTCCCCTTTCCTCTCTTCCTTCCCCTATTTTCCTTTCCTTCCTTCTTCATATATTTTCCCCTTCCCTTCCTTCCCTTATTTTTCCTTTCCTCCCTCCCTCCCTTCTTCTTCTCCCCTAATATATTTTCCCCGATTCCTTTCTTCCTTCCCTTATTTTCATTTCCTCACTTTCCTTCCTTCATATATTTTCCCCTTTCCTCTCTTCCTTCCCTTATTTTCCTTTCCCCCTTCCCTCTCCATTCCTTCCTTCTTTCTTCTCCCCCATATATTTTCCCTTTTCCTCTCTTCCTTCCCTTATTTTCTTTTCTTCCTCTTCCCTCTCTCCTCCTTTCCTTTCTTCCCATTCTTTTTCTCTTTCCTTCCTCTCTTCCCCTCATTCGCCTTTTCTTTACTTCCCAGAGGGCCACTTCACCTAGCGACAGCCTTTTGTGTTCCAAACAGGCGAACGTACATGCATACATACTTTGACTTCTCCATCTATGCAGACTGCTGACCGACCAGACGCGTTTCCCTCAAGCCCTTGGGACAACTTAAGAACACAACTGAAATAAAATAACAGTGACTATTTTATTGAACATTATTTAATACCATATCAAAACACCTTGACTAATAGGGGAAAGTTTCCCTTCCCAAGCTTTGAATGTTTTTTTTGTGTGGTTTTCAAAGTTCTTTGTTTTGCTATATAAATACAGACACCTTTCCTGCTGGATGGAAGCGATCTGCAGGGGTTTTTATTTGTCCCATGGCTGATGCAGTCTTTGCTTCGTGCTCAAACGTGGACCGGTGTGTGTGTGTGAGAGAGAGAGAGTGTGTGTGTTGCTTTTAAGAAAAAAAAAAAAAGAGAAATCACCATTTCCCACTTTCCCGCAAAGGGCCGAGAGCGGTTCAGGCATCTTAGCAGGACACTTGTGAATGGCGACAGCCCTTCAGAATTGCCCCAGAGCAGAGAGAGTCCGAACCCAGGCGAAGAGGGAGGAAAAATGGGGAAGGGGAGGCTTTTGGCAATGAGATTGAAAGGGCAAAATGAAGAGCGAAAGGCGAGGAGAAGGTCTTCAGAAATCCTGTGTCTCCCATCGCCCGGGATGTCGACGCTGGGAGGCCGAAGGGAACGCAGTCCTTGTAAACTTCACCAGGAACACACATCTTGTTTTGACACGGAAAAAAATGGCTGTTTGTTTTGTTTTGTAAACACTTGAAAAGACAAACCTACAACGCCTTCATCAAAAAAAGTGACGGAAAAGGCCCTTTTCCTCCTCGGGAGACATTGGGGAGAGGGGTGCAAACGGAGAGGGAAGACCCTCCTCTTCCATTTCCAAATGGGACACTGTTTGGATGGAGAGGAGGATGAGAAGCGGGGAGAAGGGATCACCTGGTCAGTGCAAACATGGAAAGAAAAGGTGTGAGTCCTCGCTGAACGGCGACTCCCAGACTCCGTTTGGCTAGCGGCCGGAAAGGGCCCAAACAAACATCATGGCTGCGCTCGGGAACTGGCAGCCGGGCTCTGGCTCTTGGCAGGCTCCCCCTTTTTTGCTCCCAAAGAACCCAGCGACTTCTTTCTTTTTGGGCGGAGCAGCAGTGTCTCATCTGCCCTTTTTCAAAGGAGAGAAGTTCTCACAATGTCCCCCGTCCCTTTTTTCTATCATCATCCCAGAGCTCATTTCGGAAAAGGGTTCGATATGGGAAGAGCAACTGATGGGGCAACCTGTTGAGAGGGGAAAAAGGAGCATTAGTTAGTCCAAAAGGCAGGACGAGGCATTTCCAAGAACCGGCAGGTATTTTCCTCCTTGTTAACAGCATCCAACAAAATGTGGAAAAAAGGATCTACAGGCAGTCCCCACATTACGAACAAGGTCAGTTTTGCGGGTTTTTTCTTAAGTCGAATTTGTATGTAAGTCGGAATAAGGGCATTTTTGAAGTGTAACTCTAGCCAAATATAATATAATATAATATAATATAATATAATATAATATAATATAATATAATATAGAGCCCCCGGTGGCGCAGAGGGTTAAAGCGCTGAGCTGCTGAGCTTGACCAAAAGTTTGCAGATTTGAATCCGGGAGCGGCGTGAGCTTCCGCTGTCAGCCCCAGCTTCTGCCAACCTAGCAGTTCGAAAACATGCAAAATGTGAGTAGATCAATAGGTACCGCTCCGGCGGGAAGGTAACAGCGCTCCATGCAGTCATGCCGGCCACATGACCTTGGAGGTGTCTACGGACAATACCGGCTCTTTGGCTTAGAAATGGAAATAAGTACCGCACCGAAGAGTCGGACACGATTGGACTTCATGTCAGGGGAAAACCTTTACCTTATAATATAATATGTAAAGGTTAAATGTTTTAAAAAACCTAAAAATATCCCATACCTTGTGTGACTGTGGAGCAGAACAGACAACTCCACATCTGTATGCTTGTCCACTATGCCCTGCCTCATGTACAGAAGAAGAATTGTTAGAAGCTACAGACAGTGCCATTGCTGTTGCCCGTTCTTGGTCAAAAGATATGTAGCCACCTGCGCTCCTTCTATTTTTATTGGTTTTATACTAATTTATCCAATGCTTTTGATACAAAATAAATAAAATAAGTAAGTCCATTAAGTCCAGTCATGTCTGACTCTGGGGGGTGGTGCTCATTTCCATTTCTAAGCCAAAGAATCGGTGTTGTCCATAGACACCTCCAAGGTCATGTAGCTGGCATGACTGCATGGAGCACCATTACCTTTCCGCCGGAGCGGTACCTATTGATATACTCACATTTGCATGTTTTCAAACTGCTAGGTTGGCAGAAGCTGGGGCTAACAGGAGAAGCTCAACCTGCTCCCTGGATTTGAACAACTGTCCTTTTGGTCAGCAAATTCAGGAGCTCTGCGGTTTAACCCGCTGTGCCACCAGGGGGCCCTATAATATAATATAATATAATATAATATAATATAATATAATATAATATAATATAATATAATAGGGCAAGGAGCCCTATTTCAGGCAGTTAAGAACAAGTTACAAATAAGATTGAATTTGTTTATAAGTCAGAATAGGAACATTTTAACTGTTACTCCAGTCCAGTATATATATGTGTGTGTGTGTGTGTGCATGCATGCTTTGGATAGCACAGGGAAGGGTGGAGTTTCCTTTGTTATCTGTGTCCTTCAGGAGATTTCGTCTCACTTTCTGTCCCTCTGAGAACTGGATTTTGGAAAAAATGGCTTGTTGTGAAAACAAGGATTGGGGATAAAGCTACACTGGAGACCCACTTTCCCCATAATAATAATAATTCTTCCAGGATTTAATTTCCCTTCCTTCCGAGGGAGAAATTTATCTCACTTCCTGTTGTCTCAGTCCCGTTTTGAACTATGTCGTTTGTAAGTCGGATGTTTGTAACTCGGGGACGGCCTGTAGTTGCATCTCCTTGATGTCTATTTATTTATTTACCACATTTATGCCCAACTTTCTTTCCCCACAGGGGACTCAAGACGGGTTACATATATAGGAAGCGACTCAATGCCATACAAACATACATCATAATGCCAAACCATATTCTGCAGAACCCTACAGTTCAATAAAACCTTTGCAGGGATACCACAAAAAATCTTAAAAATCATTTTTTTACAGATTTTAAAATAAACCTACACAAATCTAATTGACTTACAGTCTCTGCCACAGCTATTTTGTGCGATAACTATTGCTCTCAAGTATGTAGTTACTGGCATCATATTTTATTTCCCACCTGAACAAGAGGGATTCACATGTCAAATTTTCACATTGAGTCTGCTTTTATTCCCCCCCCCCCCCCACATTTCTTGTATAGTTGTTGACACTTTTGGAATATTGGGACATTATTAATATTAATATTATTATTTACAATATTAATATTATAAATATTATAAATATTATTCATATTATTATCATCATTAATATTATAAATATTATAATATTATTCATATTATTATCATCATTAATATTAATATTAATATTATCAAGAGTAAAATTTGCTCAAAAATTACATAATTTGCAACTCTATACAGGCATTGGCAAACTTCAGCGCTCTGGGTGTGTTGGCCTTCAACTCACACAATTCCTAACAGTCCAAAATACTCGAATTTTATTTTTTTCCCCCATTTCTTGTATAGTTTTTGACACTTTTGCGATATTGGGACATTATTAATATTAATATGAATAATAATATTAATATTAGTATTATTAATAATATTATAATATTATTGATACTATTATTATTAATAATAATAATATTATCAAGAGTAAAATTTGCTCAAAAATTACATTATTTGCAGCTCTATACAGGCATCGGCAAACTTTGGCGCTCTGGGTGGGTTGGACTTCAACTCCCACAATTCCTAAAAGTTAAGGAATTGTGGGAGTTGAAGTCCAAAACATCCAGAGGGCTATTTATTATTTATCGTGTCATCAGCAACCATACCATTGTATTATAATTCTAACACAGCAAAACAAACACACAGATTAAAAAGAGGGCTGAAGTTTGCTCATGCTTGTTCTATACAGTTAAGCAAACTAAGGACTGGATTTTGTGATTGAAGTTCTTGGTTCATATTCATGATCTCTACATATTCACTATTCACAAAGGTCCCCCAATTGCAACTTGCTTGCAGTCGTCAGGTAAATCAGGACTGGAAGGGTCGAGTGCAAATTCTTACCTTCAGCGAGGTCAGCAAGCATCACCATGGTCAATCTGAAGGGTGCTCTGGACAGGATCTGTTCACTTCAAACCAAGAATCTATACAACTAAAAAAGGGGGAAATGGATATTAGGAAATGCCTCATGCTGCTTGGCCAAGCTGAGGGATACCAAGCAGCCGCTTAGGGAACCCCAAAACCAAAGAGATATAGTGTTCCCTCACTTATCGCGGGTTTTATTTATTTATTTGTTTGTTTATTGATTATATTGATATACCGTCCCTCTCAGCCCGCAAGCGACTCGGGGCGGTTTACAGTTGGTGCCAAGACCATAAATTACAATTTCAATATAATAAAAACAATCGAGTAATAAAACCATGACAAAATCAATAAAAACATGAACATTAGGGCCTACTGTTAAAAACATTGTTACACTCCAGGACCACCAGCGAAAAGTGAAAATCTATAAAATAGGGACGCTATATACAGTAGAGCCCCAGTTATCCCCCACCCACCCTTGCTCGCTTGCTCGCTTATCCTTTCCTCCATCACTTGGTCACTCACTGGGCCGAGTCCTGGTTCTGCCTCTGCGATCCATTCAGGTGAGTGCGCGAGCGAGGGAAGTCAGCAGCTGGTGGCAGAAGCTGGAGACTGGAAGAAGCAGCAGTTGCCAACTTTGCTACCCTTCTCGCTTGCTCACCCCCCCCCCCCCCCCCGCTACTTACCAGGTCGAGTCCTGGTTCTGCCACCAGGACTTGGCCTAGTGAGTGAGCGAGAGTGGCAAGGGCAGAAGCAGGAGCCTGGCCACCTCTTCCAGGTTCCTGCTTTTGCCGTTGCTGCTGCCTTCCCTCGCTCGCTCGCTCGCTCACCTGGACGGATCACAGTGGCAGAACCAGGACTTGGCCCGGTGAGTGAGCAAGCGATGGAAGAAAGGGTGAGTGAGCGAGGGCAGGGAGGGATAAAAGGGGCTCTACTGTATATAGCGTCCCTACTTTGAGAATTTTCACTTTTCGCTGGTGGTCCTGGAATGTAGCACCCGTGATAAGTGAGGGAACACTGTATCTCTTTGGCTTTGGGGCTCCCTAAATGGCTATTGGTATCCCTCACCTTTGCAGCCCTCCCTCACTCACCCGCACTCGCTCGTTTGCTACTCACCAGGCCAGGACCCGGTGGCAGAACCAGGACTCAGCCTGGTGAGTAGCGAGTGAGCAAGGGAGGACAGGTAGGTGAGTGAGCAAGGCACGGAGGGCTGCAAAGGCAGAAGCTGCAGCAGAAGCAGGAGTCTGGAAGAGGTGACCAGGCACCTGCTTCTGCTTCCACTTTTGCAGCCATCCCTCGCTCACCCACCCTCCCTTACTTGCTCGCTACTCACTGGGCCGCGTCCCGGTGGCAGAACCAGGACTTGGCCCGGTGACTAGTGAACGAGGGAGGACGGGTGGGTGAGCGAGTAAGGGACGGAGGGCCGCAAAGGCAGAAGCAGCGGCAGAAGCAGGAGCCTGGAAGAGGCCGCTGCTTCTGCCTTTGCAGCCCTCCCTTGCTTGCTCACCCACTGTCCCTTGCTTGCTCGCTACTCACTGGGCCGCATCCCGGTGGCAGAACCAGGACTTGGCCCTGTGAGTACCAAGGAAGGAAAACGCAAAACAGCGAGTCCATGAAAAGCGAACCACGAAGTAGCGAGGAAATAATAATAAATAAATAAATAAATAAATAAACTTTATTATACCCCACCACCATCCCCCCAAAGGGGACTTGGGGCGGCTTACATGATGCCAAGCCCAACAGTACATCACAATAAAATAAAACCAAAACAACAAAACAAACTTCACAATTAAATAAATAAAAACATAATGCAATAAAACAATATAAAATAATACAATGCAGAATCAATCCCAAAGGGTGGGCCACAGGCATGAGATAAAATGATAAAATTCAAGATGAGGTAGGAATGAAAGAAAATTATTTGTATGGGAGAAGTTCATAGGAGACGGCGTAGTGGAGACAAGCCTTCAAGAGGCAGGGGGAATTGCAATATAGGGACAAACATTATGGGAGGAGCAAATGCTGTATATACCCAAGGGCTTCTGAAAACCAAAAGAATGTTATCGATCAGGCAATTGGCCTTATCAAAACAAACAATATAAACATGACATACAGTATACATCAAACCAAGGGCTTCTGAGAAAAGCAGCCTCCCTCTTTCTCTCACCTTTTGTGGTAAATGCACAGGCAAGGAAGCCGAGCTATCGTGTCCCCCTGCAAGAGTTCCTCCAGGCAAATGACACACTCGCCCGCGTCCTTGGTCAGCACGTCATCTGGAAGGGAGAAGACAGACACCATTGAAGGACCCCTTGGCCATGGGTCCACTTCTATGCAAATAATAATAATAATAATAATAATAATAATAATAATAATAACTTTATTTATACCCCGCCACCATCTCCCCAAGGGGACTTGGGGCGGCTTACATGAGGCCAAGCCCGACAGACATCAGTAAAACAACCAAGCAATAAGCAAATAAAACAATACAATTTTGCGCTAAAGAAATTTGGGAGGATCCATGACACTTCCACAGACTTAACAGAAATGATAAACACTGCTTTCTTGTCTATTGTTGAAGCAACGACACTTGGTTTTAAGTGCCGACGCCTGCTTGCTCAAAAAATAAATTGCCAGCTGATTTTTGGATGCCCAGAGGACCTCCGGCGCCAGGGCAAGAACTGAGCGTATGTTAATCTAATTGAGTGATGCTCCAGTGGGTCAGAAGCCGGCGCATTGATTAGATGACCTTTCATCATGCGAAAGTGCGCATAAAGAGTGCAATTAACTCCAGGCCAAGAAGGGCAGGAGGTCAATACGGAGATGCAGACACGCTGGAACCAGCCAGGGAAGGCCAAGTCAACATTTATGCAAGCAGCACCAATTCAACAGGTGTAGCTCTCAGTGGGACTAGCCTTCAAATCCTAGAAATGCAAGGATGGTGTTGTTCCCAGCCCTGTCAATAAGGCAGGCAAGCAGCAGCCACTTTGTGGGGAAAGGGGGAATCTGGGTTGCTATGCACTGTGCGCATGTGTGCATTTTGCGGGCTCCCCTCTGCGCCTTCCTCCCACGGCCTGACCCAACACAACCCCAGGCAGCAGAGGAGTGTGCGTTGGCTGCTTGCCCAAAGACGGGTGGAAGGGAGGAGAAAAATGGATCGCAGCAGAGGAGGAGGAAGCACAGCGATGCTTTTGGCATCATGAGGCTCTCCAGCATTTCTACAAAAGCTTGGAGGCCTGGAGGGAGATTCCTGGGTCCGGAGGGCTTCCCCTTGCCCTATGGACGGCAGCTATGACCACATCTGCAGATCCTCTTCCAGATGTGATTGACAGCCTCTGCTTGGAGCCTGCCACGGCCCCTGACGTTGCAGCCTGGGCAGACTCTGCCTGGCAACAGAGGCAACGCCACGGCCTGGCACCGGCAGCAGGAGCAGGTGTCCCCCCGCCCCTTGTTGCTGAGCAGGACACTCACTCCTCACAGGGGTGGATCTACCCACATTTGCATGTTTTCAAACTGCTAGGTTGGCGGAAGCTGGGGCTAACAATATAATATAATATATTGTATATTCATATAATATTTATAATATTATAATGTAATACAATATACTACTACTAATAATAATACAATATTATAATTATATATTTTATATTACATGTAATATTACTAATAATATTACACTATATTGGGCTTTGTTTTTGTTTTTTTGTCATGTCAGGAGCGACTTGAGAAACTGCAAGTCACTTCTGGTGTGAGAGAATTGGCCATCTGCGAAGACATTGCCCAGGGGACGCCTGGATGATTTAATGTTTTTATCATCCTTGTGGGAGGCTTCTCTCATGTCCCTGCATGAGGAGCTGGAGCTGATAGAGGGAGCTCATCCGCCTCTCCCCGGATTTGAACCTGCGACCTGTCGGTCTTCAGTCCTGCCAGCACAGGGGTTTCACCCACTGCGCCACCGGGGGCTCCTACTATATTGGTATAGTACGATATAGTAATATATAATACTGATATTGTGCTATACTAATAATATAATATATTGTATTTATATATATCTTGTAAGCTGCTCTGAATCCCCTTCGGGGTGAGACGGGCAGCATATAAATGCCTTAAATAAATAAAATAAATAAAAAACAGCTCATCCCTTCTGCGGATTCGAACCGCCGATCTTTCGGTCATCAAGATCTGCAGCTTAGTGGCTCCTCCTCTGCTATATATTATTATTATTATTATTATTATTATTATTATTATTAACTTTATTTGTACCCCGCTAACATCTCCCGAAGGACTCGGTGCGGCTTACAAAGGCCAAGGCCCTCAATAAAACAACAGCATAACAAAACAACAATAAAACTCAAAAAGCAAACCAATAAACATTAAAGCAATAACAGTAAAACATCAAAAACAATAGATCATGACACATTTAAAACTAGGGCCGGGCCAAATGGAATGGATAAATTAAAAGTGCTGGACATGACAGGTGAAATGTAAGGATTTTAGGGTAGGTGCAATGTGCAGGCAATCTTAAATCTCTGGTAAAGTGCATTTGGGACATGATGCTGGGAGTTTCCTATTCTGGAAAGGCACACTGGAACAGCCAGGTCTTCAAGCTCTTCCTAAAGACTGCCAACGTTGGGGCTTGTCTGATGTCCTTGGGGATGCCTATAGATGTCCTATAGATGCCAAATATTCCTCCATGGCAGAATGGGGATGGATTGGACAGCCTTTGGAATCTCTTCTAACTCTACAATTTTAGAATTCTATTTTTAAAGGTGATTTTCTGTCCCTAAATACTGCAGCCAAATGTGGAACTAACTTTGCACAATTGCCCATTCTGCACACACAAACCCACAAATGGTGCAGAATTCAGTGGTTGGGAATGGAAGAATCTTCAGCCATACTGCTCCATATTTGCATTGATTTGGGGGGGTATGAACTGTCTTACATGAAACTTGCAATCTGGGTTCCTTGTGGTCCTTTAAACTAATCACAAAATTCATTTATGTTTAATATACATCTTTACACACAGCCTGAAAGTAATTGTATACACATTATTTTATATAATATATGCGCATGAAAGTTTGCGCAAACTAAATCCTTATAAAGCCAAGATGTCACTATCTAAGCACCAGGACTGTGGCGCAGCTGGATGAGTGTCAGCTGCATTAAGATCAGTACTGACCAAAAGGTCATGAGTTTGAAGCCGGCCCGGGGCGGAGTGAGCTTCTGACCAATTGTGTAGCTTGTTGTCGATCTTTGCAACCCGAAAGACAGTTGCATCTGTCAAGTAGGAAACTTAGGTACCACCTATGTGTGGGGAGGCTAATTTAACTAATTTACGAGGCCATAAAAAAGACTCCAGCAAAGCACTCCAGCAAAGCATGCGGGGAATGCAGAAGTACTTCATCAGTGTCGCAGATGGACGATGAAAGCGACAGCTCCCCTGGTGGCCAGAAAAGTTAAATAGCCGCTGACTGTCTGTCTATATCTGTTGTGTGTCTTTGGCATTGAATGTTTGCCATATATGCGTACATTGTAATCCGCCCTGAGTCCCCTGCGGGGTGAGAAGGGCAGAATATAAATACTGCAAATAAATAAATAAATAAATAAATAAATAAATAAGCAAGCCAGGGGTCCTCAAACTAAAGCCCAAGGGCCGGATACGGCCTTCCAAGGTCAGGGCTGTATGACTCAGGGTCAACCTAGTCTGAAATGACTTGAAAACAACAACAACAACACTATCTCATCAGCCAAAAGGAGGTACACACTGCCCATTGAAATACTAATAAGTTTATCTTTGTTAAAATTGTTCTTCATTTCAATTATATTGTTTTTAAGTGTTTTTTGCACTACAAATAAGATATGTGCAGTGTGCGTAAGAATTCATTCATGTTTTTTTTTCAAATTATAATCTGGCCCTCCAATGGTTTGAGGGAGGGACTGTGACCTGGCCCTCTGTTTAAAAAGTTTGAGGACTCCTAATCTAAACTGTTTTGGATTGTGGAGCACTTCCGGATTAGGGCTGCTCAACCTGTGTATGAAGTTCTTACTGTTAGGTAAAGGTAAAGGTTTTCCCGTGACATGAAGTCCAGTCGTGTCCGACTCTGGAGGTTGGTGCTCATCTCCATTTCTAAGCCGAAGAGCTGGTGTGGTCCGTAGACACCTCCAAGGTCATGTGGCCAGCATGACTGCATGGAGCACTGTTACCTTCCCACTGGAGAGGTACCTATTTATCTACTCAAATTTGCATGTTTTCGAACTGCTAGGTTGGCAGAAGCTGGGGCTGACAGTGGATGCTCACGCCACTCCCTGGATTCAAACCTGCAACCTTTCAGTCAACAAGCTCCGAAACTCAGCGCTTTAACCTACTGCGCCACCGGGGTTCTTATTGTTATTTGTTCATTTTGAAAAGCATCCCATTGGGGGGAATATAAAGAAAAGTAAACAAGAAAAGTGGCCTCCCAGCATTTGCTTCTACCCACAATCTGTTATCACACCCACAACGTCTCTTGACCAGACTTACCATTGTAGGAGAGTCGGGGCTTGCTCAGACACATGATAAAGTGCATTTCCATTTCATCGGAAGCCACGGATTTGGAGCAAATGGGGCACTTGAAACCTGGAAAGAGAAGGAGGAGAGAAAAGGGTTTTACACAAGGGAGCCGATTTGGAGCCCCAACGAAAAGGAGTTGATGCTGTGGTACAGTTAATGCCTGAAGAGATATGATTCTGCACCCATGAGAAAGGAAACACTCTTTTTCAGGTAATGGAAATTTGAAACAGTCACTTTTTGAAACTATAGTGACATAAAACTACATGATTGTTTGGTGTAACACTAGAATCATAGAATCAAAGAGTTGGAAGAGACCTCATAGGCCATCCAGTCCAACCCCATTCTGCCAAGAAGCAGGAATATTGCATTCATAGAATCATAGAATCACAGAATCATAGAATCAAAGAGTTGGAAGAGACCTCATAGGCCATCCAGTCCAACCCCCTGCCAAGAAGCAGGAATTGCATTCAAAGCACCCCTGACAGATGGCCATCCAGCCTCTGTTTAAAAGCTTCCAAAGAAGGAGCCTCCACCACACTCCGGGGCAGAGAGTTCCACTACTGAACGGCTCTCTCAGTCAGGAAGTTTTTCCTCATGTTCAGATGGAACCTCCTTTCTTGTAGTTTGAAGCCATTGTTTCATGTCCTAGTCTCCAGGGCAGCAGAAAACAAGCTTGCTCCCTCCTCCCTGTGGCTTCCTCTCACATATTTATACATGGCTATCATATCTCCTCTCAGCCTTCTCGTCTTCAGGGTAAACATGACCAGCTCCTTAAGCCGCTCCTCATAGGGCTTGTTCTCCAGACCCTTGATCATTTTAGTCGCCCTCCTCTGGACACATTCCAGCTTGTCAATATCTCTCTTGAATTGTGGTGCCCAGAACTGGACACAATATTCCAGGTGTGGTCTAACCAAAGCGGAATAGAGGGGTAGCGTTACTTCCCTAGATCTAGACACTAGGCTCCTCTTGATGCAGGCCATCAACTATCAAGATCCATTATAATTACTCAGAAGTGATTACAAAGCAAATTTACTTTTCTGCTTTTGTTTGTAAACAAATGAAACTACACCATTTACACCAAAACTACAGGAAACCTTGTTTATTTTTTCAGGAGCGAGGCAAACACAAGCAATGAAAACGCAAAAAAATCAATAATGACATAACAAAGGAAGTTACTTTTGTCTCCTCTGATCTTTCAAGCAGAAACAAAATACTCATCCCTATAAAAACAACATGGAGAGAGAGTTGCCAGATGTACAAGCTGGGTTTAGAAAAGGCAGAGGAACAAGAGACCAGATTGCCAATATCCGGATGCTGGAGAATGGAGAAAGGCCGGGAGTTTCAGAAAAACATCTCTTTCTGTTTTATTGACTATTCTAAAGCCGTTGACTGTATGGATCATAATAAATCGTAGCAAGTTCTTGGTGGTCCGGGAATACCAAGCCACCTTGTCTCTCTCTTGAGGAATCTGTACAAGGACCAAGTAGCAACAGTAAGAACTGACCACGGAACAACAGACTGGTTCAAGATTGGGAAAGGCGTACGGCAAGGCTGCATCCTCTCACCCAATCTTTTAACTTGTATGCAGAACACATCATGCGATGTGCGGGGCTTGACAAATGCAAGGCTGGGGTGAAAATTGCTGAAAGAAACGTTAACACTCTTAGATATGCAGATGATACCACTTTGATGGTCGAAAGTGAGGAAGAGCTGAGGAGCCTTCTAATCAAGGTGAAAGAAGAAAGCGCAAAAGCTGGGTTGCAGCTAAACATAAAAAAACCAAGATTATGGCAACAAGAATGATTGACAACTGGGAAATAGAGGGAGAAAATGTGGAGGCCGTGACAGACTTTGTATTTCTAGGCGCAAAGATTACTGCAGATGCAGACTGTGGCCAGGAAATCAGAAGACGCTTCCTTCTTGGGAGGAGAGCAATGTCCAGTCTTGATAAAATAGTAAAGAGTAGAGACATCACACTGGCAACAAAGATCCGCCTAGTCAAAGCCATGGTATTCCCTGTAGTAACCTACGGATGTGAGAGCTGGACCTTAGGGAAGGCTGAGCGAAGGAAGATAGATGCTTTTGAACTGTGGTGTTGGAGGAAAGTTCTGAGAGTGCCTTGGACTGCGAGAAGATCCAACCAGTCCATACTTCAGGAAATAAAGCCCGACTGCTCATTGGAGGGAAGGATAGTAGAGGCCAAGATAAAGTACTTTGGCCACATCATGAGAAGAAAGGAAAGCTTAGAGAAGACAATGATGCTGGGGAAAATGGAAGGTAAAAGGAAGAGGGGCCAACCAAGGGCAAGATGGATGGATGGCATCCTTGAAGTGACTGGACTGACCTTGAAGGAGCTTGGGGTGGTGACGGCTGACAGGGAGCTCTGGCGTGGGCTGGTCCAGGAGGTTACAAAGAGTTGGAAACAACTGAACCAATGAACAACAACAAAAAATATCTAGAAGTCCATCGGATTTTTGAAATGGGGTGGGAGTAAATGTAAGAACAGAAATTAGATCATAATGCATTTTTCCCCAATTTTTCTGGTGGGAAATAGCTTACAACCCCACCCCACCCCCCATGAACTGTTAAGGGACCTTGTTGTCAATGGGAAGAGGGTGGGGTGCACAACATAATAACCTGTATTGTAGTTCAGATTGCAATCTTCTCATGAACTGGGCCTAATAAGATTCATTTATGCACACTCATGAAATACTTATGCACACAAAGGCTTCTGAAATAGCAATTCAAAGACATTATTCACCAAGAAAACGAGAAAGAGCTGGGCTTTTGTGTCCCAAAACTGGAATGCATTATGCAAAATACAAAAGAGAGGTTACCAAATTATTCAAGACCCCATTTGCATAATGTAAACAGGTCACCCAAGTTCAGTTTGTCTTTGTTGTGCCACATAGAAGACCAGTGTTGGCACTCTTGCGTAGTGTGTGTATGTCATCTGAAGAATCACAGCAATGACAATAAGCGGAGAGTCACTTTACAGGCAGGGAAGGGTGACCAGCGCCATAGGGCTGAATCAAGGCAAGGGGCTCTTGCATTTGCTCCATGGGGCAGATGGTAACTGGCTACCAAATGATGCACCACTAAAAACAACTGGGCCTTTATTAATAGCCTTGCTTTTTGGCACAGGCTGGTTGGCAGGAAGAGAAGCCGAAATGCTTCAAGTCAATCACCTCCAGACACACAACAGCATCTCCAAAGCATCATCGTATATGTTATGCAAGCCTTCAAAGCCCCACTGGCGTCTTTGATAGAAGGAAAAGTCAGGTTCTAAAGCTAGTGCTGTGTAAGAAGCTGTAAATCTCACATGGAAGATTTGGCTTCCTCAAAGGACAGTCCCAAAACAAACCTTCTGAAAGGAGCTAMGACCAATACACTGGAATTCAAGCACAGGTAGCCCTCTATCTCCACTRATTCTACCATCCTTACTTACTCAGGTGATCCCTCGTTGGCCAAGTAGGATAGTCTTCCAGGATCAGTGTTCTGGTGGGTCCGTAGGTGACTGTGGAGCCTATTCTWGATCTGCATCTTCTCCCGCAGTGAGGGCATTGGTTTCCAGGTGGAAGGCGGTCTCGGTCGGGGTTTCCTTGACGTGCCTTCCTCTTGGCATGTTTCTCTCTTTCGCCCTCCATTCGTGCCTCTTCAAATTCTGCAGCACTGCTGGTCACAGCTGACTTCCAGCTGGTGTGCTCAAGGGCCAGGGCATCCYAGTTCTCAGTGTCTATGCCAGAGTTTTTAAGGTTGTGTTTTGTGCCACTGTTCAATGTTTAGGCTATTTGTGTATGAGATTTATTTTAATTGCTTGTATTAGTATTTGTATTTTGCTTTGCATTGTAATTGTTATTGCTTGTATTGATGTATTGTGGGCTCGGCCTCATGTAAGCCGCACCAAGTCCCTTGGGAGATGGTAGCGAGGTATAAATAAAGTTTTATTTATTATTATTATTATTATTATTATTATTATTATTATTATTATTATTAAGGTTGGTTTGAGCCCATCTTTAAATCTCTTTTCCTGTCCTCTAACATTCTGTTTTCTGTCCTTGAGTTCAGAGTAGAGCAACTTCTTTGGGAGACGGTGGTCGGGCATCCGGACAACGTGGCCGGTCCAACAGAGCTGATGGCAGAGGATCATCGCTTCAATGCTGGTGGTCTTTGCTTCTTCCAGCATGCTGACATTTGTCCGCCTGTCTTCCCAAGAGATTTGCAGGATTTTCCGGAGGCAGCGCTGGTGCTCAGGGATTTTTCAAAGCCACAAAGTCATCTATGAACCAAGAAACCATGGCATACAGCCTCTATGCTCATCAGATGGAACCAAACTCCTGAAGGACCAAAACTCAATTGCACTACGTTGGAAAGAACACTACCAAAGCCTCCTGAATCGCAGCTCCAATGTGGCCGAAGAGGTTCTCTCACAAATCCCGCAACAACAAACCAGGGATGAGCTTGCAGCACTGCCTAGTTTGGAAGAAGTTAGCAATGCCATCAGCCAACAAAAAAATAACAAAGCCAGCGGACCTGATGGGATCCCTGCTGAAATCTTTAAAGAGGGAGGACCTGAGTGGACACAACAACTCCACCAGCTCATAGAAAAAGTGTGGGTGACCGACAGAGGCGGCCCTAGGTAATTTTCAACGGTAAGCAAACAGTATTTTGGCCCCCTCCCCCAACCAATCATTGATATATATTTTCTGTTCGTCGTGGGAGTTCTGTGTGCCATATTTGGTTCAATTCCATCATTGGTGGAGTTCAGAATGCTCTTTGATTGTAGGTGAACTATACATCCCAGTAACTACACTTGCCGCACTTGCTCCCTTGCCTGGCCCGCTTTGGGTCCGGAGGCGTGCCTGAAGACCCCGGCGTGTGCACCAAAAGTCACCTCTTCTCCTGACTTTCTCCTCAGCCATTGGGACCGAGAGAGAGAGAGAGAGAGAGAGAGAGAGGTGGAGATGCCCACCTTTCCTGAAGGTAGGCGCAAAAACAAAGGAGAGAGCGGAGGTGGGAGATACCTCCAGCCGGAGGGGCTCTCTCTCTCTCTCTCTCGGTTCCAA